ATTTAAAACTCTACCTGACGTGGCATATTACGTCATTTATTTATTTTTATTTAAAATTTACAAATAAATTCTTAAACCTATTTTATATAATTATATAAAAATTCTCTAAATTTTTTCTTTTTTTTCTGGCAACCCTTGTCTCCCCCTTCTTTTCCCTTTTCCACATCCCTTTTTTGGCACCCTTCCTCTACCCCCACTCCTACTCATTTGTAAATATCAAAAATATATTTAGGAGTTTGTTTGCAATTATGTAATTTTAATTAATAAAATATTTTAAAAAAATGACATAGCATGTTATGTTGTGTCATGTAGAATATTAAGCTGACTCTCCATCAGTTAACTCAGCACTTAATAGTGAGGAGATTAACGAAAAAGACTAAATCTTCAATTTCTAACTTTTCAAAAATTAGATCTTAACAAAAAATTTTATAAAAATTTATCACAAAATGACTTACATTTATAGAGATAAAAATATATTTAAGTCTTTTTCTTTTAAGTAAGAAATCTTTAATTTTTTTTGTTAAATTGACATATTTTATACGTATAAATACCACTGCATCAACTCTTTGAATTTAAGTATAAGATATGTTTGATAAAGTAATTATAAATTAATCAATTAAAAATTGATAAATTAGTTGAAAGGTTAATAGATTAATTGGTTGAATAATGAATATAAGTTTAATTTGAATATAACATTAATTTTAAAATTATACTATTTATCAATTAAAATATATTATAAATATAACTTTTAAAATCAATTAATACAAATAATAATAATTTTTACTTATATGATAATTTATTATTAGATGATAATATGAAAACTATTTATTTTAGTGGATTTTAATTAGATGCTAAAAACATTTAGTAAAACTAGTTAATGAACTAACTAATAAAAGTAAAATAACATATAAAGATATATTTTATTACTTTATCTTAACTTAAAATTTGATAAATTATTTATTTATAAATAAATATCACCTTTCTTATTTTATTTTATTGTAAATAATTGATTACTTTCAATTTGTTACTATGATTATTTTTTATTTTTAAATATTTTATTAAAAATACAAATACATTATATTATAATTTTGATAATTTTATATTATATAAAATAAAAAAAGAATGTGATACGGAGAATATGTGATTTTGGATTTGTAAAATTAAAAAAAGGAAAGGGATGACTTATAAAAATAAAAAAAATAGCCAGGGCAAAAATAAATAAAATAAAATAAGTTAAAAATTTATAAGTTAAAACTGCATGAAGTAATATTGGAAAAAAAAACTATAATGAAATAAAATAAACTTTTACTAAAAAAATAAGTTAATCAAATAAGTAAAATACAAATATTTATCTTGTCAAATGTACTCTAAACTGTTAGTTTTGATATATCGCAAGTAAGTGTATTATACATAATAGAAATAATTTTAAAACAATATTTTATTATTATTAAAAATAAAATTGCATAAACTCGTCTGGGTGGTGTAGTTGGTTATCACGCTAGTCTCACACACTAGAGGTCCCCGGTTCGAACCGGGGCTCAAACATTAATTTTTATTGTTATTTTACATTAAACAATTATTAACAAGCCCATTAAACTTTTCTTTTATAAACAAAGCTTCATAATATATATTTTTTTTAATCTTATCTTCAACTGAGATTAAAAAAAATTATTTGCAGAAAAATAAAATTTTCATTTTATACATGTCAATGCTTCTCACTTGCAAAATACGAAAATATTTTTCAATATTTTATTTAAAAGAATAAGAAAGTGACTTTTATATATATATATATATATATATATATATAGATGAAATGTGAAATAGGAATAAATGAAATAAAAAAATGAAATGGGAAAGATGTAAATAAATTTTACAAAAAATGAAAATGATATATTATTTAGATGGATAGAAATAGAAAGGAAGGAAGTGAAAAAAAAAATTTCCTTGCATGTTTGAACGAGTGTAAAAGAGAATAAAAAAATGACATAAAAACCTTTTTATAATACTTTAAAAAATAGATTTGATTTGAAAAATTTTGAATTGTTTATTATATATTTTTATCTTAATATAAAATTATTAATTTTTTTATTTTTTGCTATAAAATATTAAATTAAAAAATTAAAAATTAGATTGCAGTTGCATTTCACAGTTGAAATGAGAATAAATGGTAAAGGTGAGGCTCAAGGAAATAGTAGCAATTTCATCCCTTAATTTCAGTTCATCCAAAGCAAGGAAATGTGCTAAAATTGTTCATTTGGGTCCATGCTCGTTTCCATCCAATGTCTTTAACTTGTGAATTATGGGCCTTCACTTGTCTTGTGATTCCAATGTTGGCTTCCTATTTCTATTGCTATTGGTTGTCCTCAAAATCACTCTTCATCTCTCTTTCGTGGCACTCATCAACTTATGCACACATCATGCCAAATACAACTACTCTTAAAAAATATCATTTTATTTTATTTTTTATATGATAATCTTATACTGTCTTGAATTTGGATCTCTTCAGCCAAATTCCACGTCACAAGTATTATTTGTAAGAAATAATTTTAGTCGATAATGTTTATAGTTTGATAGAACCAGCTCTTTTAATAAATTTTCAAAGTGCTTTTATTTAAATAAAAAACCAAATCTTTATTTAACAACCTTTGTCTATTTAATAAATAAATAAAACATAGCGTGAAAGAAATTTTTAAAAAGAAAAGGTGATAATTTATGTTTAACTATTAAAATAATAATGAGAAAGATATCATAGTTTGTGTTGAGATTATTATTATTATTATTATCCTAATTTTTTTTAGTCATATTTATCGATATTGTGCTGTTGCGAAAAATGTTCATGATTAAAAGCATTTACATTCTTATTATTTTATTCTTCATTTATTGGTATCTTCATCCAAATAAATATTTAAAATTCAATATTTAAGGTTGTTTGTGGGGACTTTATAAGAGATTCTTCCTTTATTGGTTTCATCTGAGTATAGCGCGCTTTTTGGTGATTAATGCGGTTTGAATATATTTTGTTATTTGAATAAATTATATTAATAATTAATTAGTTTTAATACTTTATAGAGTAAATTCTGTGTAAACATTTAAAGTAAAATACCTTTATTGTTTATTGACCTAATATAGTCATCATTTATAAAATAACTATATAACAAGCAGAATAGCGCTAGAAGCCAATTTTATACTGTTGTTGTGTCTGTGTCAATCAAAATTCACAACACATCACCAAAACATAATTTTGAGAATATTTAAGTAGTGTTCGGTTTAATTTATTTTATATTTTTCTTTTCTGTGAAAGAAGTTAGGCCAAACATAAATGTTTAATGAAGAAAATATTAGAAAATTAACTTTTAAGAAGTTAGTATTAGGAATTTAAATATCCTGTAAATTTAATATTTAAAAAAAATACATTATCCATAAAATTTCAACTTCAAAGATCAAATAAATTTATTTTTAAATTAAATTTTCTTAATTTCATTTCAATTTTAAAGTGAATAATCAAACATACTCTAAACCTACTATTTTGACACAAGCGTGTACGGCAACAAAATTTAAAGTAAAGGGAATAGTTTCATTCTCACCTAAATTTGTCCTCAAAAGTATCCGATATATTGACCAATTACTGATACTACCTTTATTAAAGTAACCAATTTCAATTTAGAAATTGAAAGATAACTAGAAAGAAATGGAGCCAAATATATAATAAGCACTATATTTGATTGGGAAAGGCAAATGAAATGAATTCCTACAAAAAATCAATAACTTGGGTTAGTTAGCTGTGGCATGGAATTCATTATAAGCTTGTATATATTGTACTCATATATTTGTGACTTGGTCAATGTATTATATATTTTATGTTAATTGGATGAGAAAACTTATATCATTGTTTCATAATAAATTATATATTTTTAATTATTTGGATGAGAAAACTTAGTCAAATATTGACATTAATCTTTTAGAACAATTTTTATTTTGTATTCATTGTAAAATTAAAATGATCAATTGCTCGTTTCAATAGAAAGAAAAATTGGAAAAAAAAAGTAAAAAAGAATGCAATTTAACTTAAGCTTAAGGAGGACATATAACTCATCTGTTAGAAACAAATAAAGATAAAATTATAAAATGAAATTATTAAAATATAATTTTTTAACACGTGTTTAATAATACATAAAATAATAAATAATATTTTTTATGTAGATCACAGCTTCAAGCAATCTCTTTCATGTAAGACATGTATCGGAGTATATTAATTAATTTTTTTAATAAAATATTAATTTATTGTCTAATTGACTAATTCTACTTTAAAAATATTAATTAGCATTTATCATAAAACTATTTCAACTTTCTGGTTATATTTTTGGTCGAGATTTCAACTTTCATATGGTTTCAAAATTGTCCTTGCAATGTCCTAGAGTTAGAGGACTCGGAGCACAAGAGGAACACCACACCTCAAGCCTTTTTCCCCTTTATTATCTTCAACACTGTCAATTTCCAAGAACAAAAAACTAAAATCAATAATTAAACACGATTACAGCCACAATGAAGCCAAGTTAACAATTCAATACGAAAAATCCACATAAAATTAAACACCAAAACTAGGAGTAACTTCTGAAAAGTGTCAGTGATCTTTGCCCTTTAAGATAAAGGTTTAAATACGCGTATAATTTTATAGTATATTATTTATAGATTATTTTTTATGTGAGTATTTTATTATATTTTAGTCTCAAATATTATAATATTATTAATAAAAATTATTAATTATTAAATTGTACATAATTAAAAGATTTATTAGCCTTTTTTAAATAAAAAATTAATTCATAAATAGGTGTAAGACTCCTTTTTTATAATTTGAATAAGTTTTATAATTAAATTTATAATATGAATTATTCATTTAAAAAATTAAATTAAGTTAAATTAAAATTTATATTCAAACGTAAATTCAGTCACGAACCAAATATATTTTGACTATAAATAAATAATACGTACATACAGCCTACATGTACATTGATACAGATGGAGAAAGAAAAGGAATAGTGAAGCGCAAACACAGACAGTAACGCAAAGACAGAGAGAGAACCAAACCAAGTAAAGAGAAGAGGCCCTCTTGGTTGATTCACCCCTTTTGCTTCGTTGTTGCTGAGAAGAGAAACGAAGAAGAAGAAGAAGAAAAAGAAGGGTTTGATCGGATTCGATGAGCACACAAGGGCAAGTGATTGAAGAAGCGGTTCTAGATGACATTATCCGCCGCTTAACGGAGGTCCGATTGGCCCGACCTGGCAAACAAGTTCAGCTCTCTGAGTCTGAGATCAAGCAGCTTTGTCTCGCTTCCAGAGATATCTTCCTTCACCAACCCAATTTGCTTGAACTCGAAGCCCCCATTAAGATTTGCGGTACCCCATTAGCCATTTTACTCTCCTTTTTCTCTTTAGGGTTTTAAAGTTACTTTTTTAATCAATGCATGTTTCTGGGTATCCTTCATTTGTTGCGAGTTCCAAACTTTTAGTTTTAGGGTATCCTTGCTAGTGATGAAACAAAATGTGTGTTACCCTTTTGGTTTTTAGGGCTTGTAAATTGTTATGTGGTTGAAATTTTTGTTTGCTTTTTCAGGTGACATTCATGGGCAGTACAGTGATTTGTTGAGGCTATTTGAGTATGGGGGTTTGCCTCCTAATGCTAATTATCTCTTTTTAGGGGACTATGTTGACAGAGGGAAGCAGAGCTTAGAAACCATTTGTCTTTTGCTTGCTTATAAAATCAAATATCCTGAAAACTTTTTCCTGTTGAGGGGGAATCATGAGTGTGCTTCCATTAATAGGATTTATGGATTTTATGATGAATGTAAGAGGAGGTTTAATGTGAGGCTTTGGAAAGCCTTCACAGACTGTTTTAACTGCCTTCCTGTGGCAGCACTTATAGATGATAAAATATTGTGCATGCATGGTGGTCTTTCCCCTGAACTCACAAACTTGGATCAAATCAGGAATCTGCCTCGTCCAACTGCGGTTCCTGACACTGGATTGCTTTGTGATTTGCTGTGGTCTGATCCAGGCAGAGATGTGAAGGGCTGGGGTATGAATGACAGAGGAGTCTCCTACACCTTTGGCCCTGATAAGGTGGCTGAGTTTTTGACAAAGCATGACTTGGACCTAGTTTGTCGTGCTCATCAGGTTGCTTGATGTATTTTTTACAATTATTGGTTATTTACCTTCTAAGTAAACTTAAGGTGCTTTGCTGGAAACTGACATTATTATTTTTTAATAGGTTGTAGAGGATGGATATGAGTTCTTTGCCGACAGGCAACTTGTTACAATATTTTCAGCTCCGAATTACTGCGGTGAATTTGACAATGCTGGTGCAATGATGAGTGTGGACGATAACTTGATGTGCTCTTTCCAGATCCTCAAGCCTGCAGAGAAAAAATCAAAATTCCCGATGACAAACAAGATGTGATGGTTGGCACGTCACTATATACGTAACTCAGGTATGGTTATTATTTACTTTTGTTTCTTATAGAATGGTATTATAAGTGCACTGACTAAACATACATTTCAAAATGTACAATATTGTTTGCGGGATTTCTGGTTTCGGTATTGGTAGTTATTTTCTTTCTTGAAGGAGATTGAAAAGATACAAAAAAAGAGGATATTTTGATTATTTTTTTATAATGGGACTGCATTGATTTATTTATAGTGACTATACCTGTTAAAAACCATATTTTTTTATACAAGTATTGAGCAAACATCAAACTATAAGGAAGCTCTTCTTAATTATATTTTATAATCTTGTTTTTTTTTTAATCAAATAACAAATACAATAAAAGGAAATCCTGTTACTGTTGCACGAAGTTTTTTGTATTATGATTTTAGTAGCTAATTTCTATGATGAAAATCTAGTTAAATGACTGAATTCTTTGCTTCTAGGCTCATTATCATAGGACATTTGTGGAATATATATTATTTGATGATGGTATTTTGAGACTCCATAGATTTTGATAGTGACCAAAAATCGTGTATTCTATTGAATTTTCTTAGTTTTTTTTTATGGGTGGTGTTGAAAATGGACAATTCAATGGTAAATGATTTTTTAGGTCTCAAGGTTCATAATTAATGCTGTTGGAGCTCTGAAAGTTGTTAATTCAAATCTAATAGAGAGATCACCGCAAGATTTGACAGCCTGCCAAAAGAACATACTATTGTACCTTCAAGCCAGTCAAAATTTGATTATACATTTAAATCAGCCTAGCCACCCATAGCCAAGTTAATCTTCTAGCCAGAAGGATCCTCAGAGAGAATATAGAGTTAAAACATCACTATCCTCCTCTGAATAGATAGCAGTATATAAGAATAGCATCATTAACAGAGTGAAAAAAACCATGATTTCATTTGAGCCAACTATGATACTGTTTTGTGATCCATATTCACCGTGCTTGATGTCTTCTGAATTAAAACACCAGTCACAAAGTTTTCAATCATCACTAAGCGAAAAAAAGGGGACAAGGGTCTCTTTGCCAAAATCATTACTAAAATCACACAACTAGTTTGCCAAAATAACAGTCACTAAAAGAGTAAGTATATTACATATGTGGCCAGTTTTGTGGCCTGTTTGTTTAAGTTTAATAAAAGTGATTGTGTGATATAGGTTTTTTAAGAGCTTGTGCCTTGTTCTCAGAAGCTTTGTTAGATATCCCCAAATATCAATAGTTAGTTACAATTTAACTATAGTAGAGTATCAATAGTTAGTTAGAAACTTAGAACAATCAGTTATTTAGAGAGGTTGAAAGGATAGGGAGTTTAACTTAAATAGGAGGAGAGGATGGAAGAGTGGGGATTCAGTCATGTATCAGTTTAGAGAACTGAGCATTAGCTCTGTTAGACAAGGAGAAATCCTACGTGAACTTGTGAAGGGGGAACCCTTGGAGGAGAGTTCTCTTTCCTTTGTTCACAATTTCATTATTTTTTTTTGGTTTTGTAGACAAAATATTTTTTGGTAATTATAGTTTTAGATTATTTAGTTAATTTTGAACTAATCATTTTTTATTTTAAAATAAAATATTTTATTAAAATTAAATAGAATAATTTTTTGTAAAAATATCAAGGTTAAAGGTGGGAAAAAAGTAATAAAATATAAACTTAGATTGTATTTCAAGTAGTGTATGAAGTAAACAGTAAGCTAGTAAGATAAACTCACCTGTCAGCTATCTTATTTATAGCTAATCAAATTAAAGATTTTATGGTCTACTTTGAAAAACCTCTCCCTCACCCGAATAAACGAAAAACCAATATTCATGAAAAAAAATGTGCTTGAGATTTATGAGTTTTCATATTGAAATAAAAACTCAATATTGTCATTTTTTGCCTATCCATCAAACTGCCGTTAGTGACCACAAATAAATGGGTTTTCTTCCAAGCATTGCATGGAAATATATAACACTGCCATTGACCTTGACAGTTTGTAAGGCATGCCAAAATCCCTTCTATACAAACCCAGTGATAGTTAGCAGCAGCTTTGTTCTGTTCTTTTTCAGATATGCCTTGCGAATGTTCTTTTGTTCCATTCTTTTCTGTATGTGATAGTTTTAGTTTTGTTTATAATTTTCTGTGGCCTGTATAACAACTAGGTCAAACTGAACTGAAGCATGTTTATTACTAACTTTGTCTGTAAATTTCTATATGCTTTTAATGTATATGGCATTAATTTTCTTTCTTAAAATATCTGGACTCTGGGAATAATAAATCCCCGCATTTGGCCCCCGCTGTTGAATGCTAAGAGAAGCTCCTTTCATTTTTCATGTTAGCATCCAAGCGCTCAATTCAGCTGTTGTGTGTTAACCATTAAATCAGTCATTTTCATTTTTTATTTACTCTGATGCAGATGCATTCGGCGAGTTAAATTATATCCTAAAGAAGTAGATTGCATGGCTTTTAGTTCTTCTATCTATTCCAAGGTGATGACGAGCGAGTTTAATGCTATAACCCGTCCAGTGAGGCAGTGAGCATAAGGTAGTGGTCATAGGATATTAAGCACTGCTGGATGGCCATAAAAGCAAAGGTTTTTTTTTATCCTTCTTTTCATTTTTCATAATTATTCTACCACACAATATGTACATATGTGTGTTGTAGATGCCATGGAAATGATCTCCTTTGCTCTAAAAGGTGGTCTTAGATTGTCAATTTACACTGACGGTAGAGCAGCTTGTGGTGATGATTCTGGCCAATTTTATTCAGTTAGTAAAGATGCAATTGCTGGATTTTATGGTTTCATACTGGTCTGTGTTTTTTTCTGTTGGATCAAGATATCATTCGGAGAATGTTTACTTTTACCATTCACTTACCTATGGTTTTAAGTATAGACTAAAGAATATAGATATAAGTGTCTCTTTATATTGGCTTTAGTTATGAATGTTACGTTTACTTTTAGTTATAGATATAGGCCCAAACTGAATTGTGGCTATGGTTATAGATGTATTTATAGAAGTCTTGATGTCGACAAAATACATGTTCTTATGTTATAAAAGCTATTTTTTAAAAATTGTCTTATACATATTAACAATATATGTTAATTAATCCGTTCAAACAATCTGAGAATGTTTCCTTTCTATTTCTGACTTTGTTTTTCATTGATTTTTCTCATATTTTTAATTAATAAAAAAACATTTTTTTGGATTATAAATAAGTTTATCTCTATATTGTCTATAATCATAAATTATATATTTGCCTTTAGTTAAAAATATATATAGGCCCAAAATAAATTTTAGCTACAGTAATGCGTATAATTCTTATTAAAAATTATCTATATTTTAAGAAAAAGCACATATGATTTTATTGATATTAATAATTAATAATACATGTTTGGTAGTCCGTGTATTTCAATACTATTTCTGATACCTTATTGGGGAACATCTATTTTGCTTTGATTGCTTGGATTCGAAGGAATTTTCACTCACATAAATAGACACAAGTCATTTTCTTTGCTCAACTTATGAGGCATTTAGATGGTATTAGTGAGTATATTGTGAAAAATATCGTCGATTTAACCCTTCATGTGGCTTTTATTTCTGTTTCTATTTTGAAAAAAAAAAACCCATTAAATTTTGGTTTATCAAGTGAAATTTTGTAGAATTAGAAAAATAATTGAAATAGAAATGAAATGTGAATTATTAGTTTATTATTTGTGCTTACTCAATGATTTTATGCCACTTTATTTATTCTATTTGGTTACATGAAAAACATATGTTATGAATGGTTTTTTCATTTTAATAATAAGAAGGTATATTACTTTTATTATAAAATTAATTTTGGCTGAAAAGGTGAAAGAGTATTTCTACCCAAAAACTATAAAGATTAATTTGTTCTAGATTAGTAATTCATGCCGTTTAACTAGGAAGGTTTGGTATTGTTGATAGATAATTTAGTTGTTTAAGTATGCTGATTAGGGCTTTATTTCTAATCGTGTGGATATAAAAGCTTTGTTTGAAGGGGTATGTTTTGGTGATCTCTCCTTTTCGACACAGATTAGTTATTTAATTTCTTTCTTTAGATTCGGTCTTAGCCGTTATAAATAAGGAAACTTGCTTTTGTTGCCTAATAAACAAATCTAATTCTCATAGATTTCCTATTCAATCCGTCTAGATTGCACATTGTAGATTTCTTTGTTTTTGTGCCAAATTTTGAAATGAAACTACATGAAAATTGATGTATTTGTAGGTTTCTTGCAACTTCTTGCAAAGTTGTTACTATAACCATTTTACGTTCTTATACGTGACGAACGAGTAGCATCGACAAGAATACAATATGTAGTTCTACGTTCGTTTATAATCAATTTAACAATTCCACACACCACTTTGAGACTAAGCATTATGTACATTGAAAATTCTGTATAAGCAAAATACTAAAAAAGCTCACTGTTAATAGCTTATTTACATCTACCATGTATGTAGATATCAAATTTTAAACATTTATACTATTTAATAATTTTTTTATATAATACAAAATTGATTCATCTAACTGTTAGATATAAGATATATATAATTAAGATATTTTAAGACATGTTATTTAAAATTTAATATTTATTTATATTTTAAAAAATAATACTTATTAAAATAAAATAATTTGATAAAATATTAATTATTTTTTTTTATAATTTTAGAAATTTAATATATTAAATAAAAATTTTCAAACTAATAATTAGATTAATCAATTTTATACTTTGCAAAGTTATTAAATGATTTAAATGCTTAACATATAATATCAAACGAATTCTGACTCCTTATACATTATCGTGTCTTTATATTTTTAATTCCATGATGAATATTGTTTACTTTGTTAGAATTTGTTCATACAAATCAATACCTTTTTTAACTTAAAGGATTCTTTGAAACAAATGTTCATTTTTAATAACAAAGTTTGTAAAGAAAGGTTACCATATTTCATGTATTATTAAGAGCAAGTTTGACAAATTTTTAGTAAGTTTATAGTCTATTTGATTACCTTGTAAGCTTGTTTAATTGGAAGTGTTTTGGTAAATGAATTTAATTTATTAAATTATAGTATTTTTGCCCAGATGTTATTAAAAATTAAAAGTAGAATCTGAGGTTATAATTTATCATTTTTCTATTTTTAACAAATATTTTGATAAAATTCATCATTTCCCCTTTCATTCACATTATATTATTTATTTTTATAATTTTTTCTGTTATATTGTATTATTTATTTTAATTATTTTATTTTTATAAAATATTTTATTTTGGAACAAAAAATAATATGATTTCAAAATCAATTAAAAAAATTTAAATCATAACTACATAAAATAATTGTTTGTATATTAAATAAAAAAATTATATAAAATATTTGTAAACATGTCTTTATGTTTTTCAATTAGTGAATAGATAATTTTAGTGAATGAAAAACATTTGTTAATTATTTTTTCCAAGCGTCTGAAGTTGACTTTTTATGCGTTTTGCGTGAATGTGTGATATTAGATATATTTTTAATCGCAATATTCTCTGAAGTATGGTTAGGAAACTAACTTCTCTGTCACATGTATGAAAAAAACTTCGTTGAACATCAAATTTAGAATCAATATATTGTAATATGTGAGTAAAAAAAAAAAAAAAACTTTAAGAGCTTAATCGAATACGATAAAATAAGATTTTACATTTAATCGAAATCTGTTTCAAGTATTGAGGTAAATATAAGTTCTGATAAATATTTTATAGGTTTAGAACATTTGTTTACTTTGAACTACAAATTTATTAAAAATCTTCTCTGCCAAAGTTTATAATTAAAAGCACTTATTTTATGGGCGTGTTTAATGTTACATCTATGAGTTTATTATTATTTTCTGTTAAATATTTTTGTCAATGTAATATTTTCTCTTATAACTAGGTTAATAATAAACATAAATTTAAACACAATACTGTAATGATATTCTTCAAAACAGTTAGAGTTTAACTTTAATAATAATATGTATTAATTTTTAATGCAGAATTTTATTATATATATTACTATGCAAAAGTTTAAATATAATTAAATAATAATAATAATAGTATTTATAATATTGTATATATATATATATATATATATATAATTAAAATGACAATTTTAATAAAAGGCATTTTTCATTAACAACTTTGAATGTCAAATTTAAAATCAATATACTATAACTGGACAAATTTCATTAACAATGTGAATTACCTCTACAGAAGTAGTTTTGTGTCTTTTTAGAAGCTGAATTACGCTGCAGCTAGTAATTCAGAAACAAATTTAAATAATTTGAATTAAATCAGAATCTAAAGATGTTGTGCAACTGGTGCTGAATATTCCTAATTGTAATCATCTATTTTTCAATTTGATTATTGTTACTAAAAATATTTTAAAATATATTCCTTTCATTAAAATCAACTATATTGTTAGGGAAGATAATAAATGTACTGATGTGTTAGCTAAATTAAGTCTTAAGGTTACTATAGATACTATTTATGTTGATAAAAATTCTCTCTCCTTAGCTATTTTTCTGAGCTTGAATTCTTAAGATATTGGTGATCTTAGAATAAGAAATTAATTGTATTTTATTGGGTTGTGTAACCTTCTTAATAAAAAATGATAATGTGAATGTTAAATTTAAAATTAATATTGTAATATACGTGGAAGTAAAAATTTTTAAGATTAATCGAATATAATAAAATAGGATTTTACATTTGATATATGACAAATTTAAATATTTTTCAAGCATAAAGATAAATGTAAATTTTGATACATATTTTATAAGTTGAGAAGTTTTCTTTATTTTAAATTATAAGTTTATTAAAAACATCATCTCCTCTTGCCAAAGTACATCATTAAAAAATATTTTAAAAAAATGATTTATTAAAAAATTAATTGTAAAAAAATTTAATTACCATCATAATTAGTAGTTATATTACTTATTATTAATAAAATAACAAAAAAGTAAAAGGTAAATTAGCAGTGATTGAGAGCTGGGTTCCCACCCAGCGAAGACGATGGAGAGGCATATAAAGGTAAGGCGCCCACTTTGTACTTTTCGTTCGTTCAAAATTATCACACTCTCTTTGTTGTAGTTATTGTAGATTTATAGGGTTTCCGATTCCCATTTTCAAATTCAAATCGGAAATGTTGTGGGAACAACATTTCTCCTCTTAGATTCCTCAAATCCATTTCACACCACTCTCTGTTTCCAGATCCCTCAATGGCGTTGTTGGCGGCAAGTGGTGGCGACACCGTCAAACTCTTCGACGCCTCCGTCAAGCCCGGCGATCCCTGTACTCTCAGCTTCACTCCTTCTCCCGGTTCGCAAGTCAATTCAGTCAAGTGGAACCATACCAGTGAGTTTACCTATCACTGACTTTTTTTTTTTTTTTGCTTTATAGGGTTTAGATTTCGCCAAAGTGTGGTGGATTTGAAAATTTAGCGGTTGATGGTTCTGTTTGATTTCGCTGAATTTGGTTTCTTCGCAGATTTGGTTGTGGCCAGTGCCGGAGATGATAAGAAGATCTCGTTGTGGCGTAAGAATGGGCACAGCATGGGGACCATTCCCGTCGCCGGGACTGATAGTGGAGACAACATTGAGGTAGCTTTTGCCGAATACTTACTTTTTTAACGTTTTGTTTACGAAATGTTGTGTTGTGGAGAAATTTTAATGTCTCTTCTTGGCTTTACTGTTGCTGAAATGTTGTATTTTGCACTCGTTTCCAGTGGTTATGTTAGGAATTTAAGACACAGTAGGTGCCGTGTAATTTGTAAGACTAATTTGTATATGAAATTATCGGCGTAAGTTTTAGTGTTATTAAGATGTTAAAGGAGAAACAAGATTTCAGTTAATGTCCTTCCACATTTGATTCACTAAACAGTGTATTGAACGTTGATTATGCATAGAGGAACACTGTCCTCTTAAAGTTGACTGTTTTTGGCATTTTCAGAAGAAACAACAAAGGCTGGGAGGCCCCTTTGTGTATCACTTATGTTTCTTCTTTGGTGTAGACATTTCAACATTTTTAAGACTCCAGCATGGCCTTGCATTCCAATTAGAGTTAATTCCCTGCACAAGAAACTTTTATCTATTCGTTTATTTGCTGGAATTATATGTGCACTCCCTGGTATTAGTACTCCTGACTCCTTATAGGTCATAATTTCAGCAAATCATTTGCTTTGTTTTTTTGTTTTTCTGGGCTATTTCATGGCTTCTTATACTATTTTCTCCCTCCTTAACTTCTTTTCTTGGCAGGAGTCTATATTGGCTATCAGCTTCAGCAACAAGGCTTCCAGATATGTATGTTCTGGAGGAACTGGTCAAGTTGTAAGGATATGGGATTTACAAAGGAAACGCTGTATTAAGTGGCTAAAGGGTCATACTAATACTGTCACAGGTGTAATGTACAATTGTAAAGATGAACATTTGGCTTCTATCAGCCTCAGTGGAGACCTTATGCTTCATAATCTTGCTTCTGGGCAAAAGGCTGCTGAACTCAAAGATCCCAATCAACAGGTTTTTCTGTTTTGTTGAACTTGAACCTTCTGCTTCTTGGTGCTTGGCCTTGCATGAGTGTGTATGGACTAATCTCCCATCTTTGAAATTGTAAGACCAGATGTTGAGAGTACTGGATTATTCTCGGGTTAGTCGTCACCTTCTTGTGACTGCTGGTGATGATGGGACAGTACATTTGTGGGATACAACTGGTCGCAGTCCTAAGGTATGCAATACGCTCACTTTATAATTATGTGACATATGCTGCAAGATTCTACAAAATGAACTTGGCTGATAGTTGAAGCCATTAATTGGTCTGCTCCACCCAAAATAGTAATAAAGAATAAGTTGTGACATCTTTCTCTTCTGCAACCTTCATATTCATATGTCTTAGAAATTAGTTTGGTATTATTATAGTTTAATGAATTATCTTTTCTGTAGGAAGTTTCTCCTTTCTTGCCTTTTAGTTATTTTTATTATTGTTATTATTATAGGCACGTTTGAGTTGAAGTATATATTTTGTTTCTTTTTCCTTTGTTTTTGAAAAAAAAAAAAGGTTTCATGGATGAAGCAGCACTCTGCACCAACTGCTGGTATTAGCTTCTCTCCATCCAATGACAAGGTTTCAGTTTTCATTGCCAGTAAATTTTATAATATACACAATGAGACTGTTTCATGATTCATCCTGCTTGGACTTGTGACCCTTTGTGTTACAATGTTTTTGCTTTCTGATATTTTTCTTCAATTGACAGATCATTGCTAGTGTTGGCCTTGATAAAAAATTATACACTTATGATTCTGGATCTAGAAGACCATCATCTTGCATTTCTTATGAGGCGCCTTTCTCTTCATTGGCCTTTAGAGATGATGGTTGGATGCTGGCTGCTGGAACTAGCAATGGCCGTGTGGCATTCTACGATGTTCGTGGAAAACCACAACCTTTTGTTGTTCTTCACGCTTATGGTAGTTCAGAGGTAATTTGTTGCCACATATACTACAATGTTTTGTCTTGACCTGCATAGCTTAATGTAATTAAGACTGTCACTTGGTTACCGTTTTATATTTGTCTCACCTGCATAGCTTAATGCAATTATGTAGTTCTCTCCCATTATTTGTTGAACACTAGATTTATATATTTGTAATGCACAAATATATTGGGAAAGGGTATTGGAGTTTCATATTTATTAGTAACATATATAGATTGGGTCTATCATGAACTACAACTTATACTTGCTTCCTTCCTTTTCTTGTTCTTCTTGAACACTACACCAGTGTTTTCTCTTTCAGAAAAGTCTTTGAGTACTTCCTCCGATTCTTTTTTATAAAACTCCTTTTAGAAGGTTTTAGTGTTTTAAAAAACACTTTATAGTTTTTATAAAGTATTTATTATGTTTTTCTCATTTGTCTTTAATAAATGGAGTTGATAGAAACCTAAAATAAAATCAATGAAGGTAAATATTCATAGTGAGATTAGGTACATTGCTACATGTTTTAATATTTTAAAAATACATAAAAAATTAACTAACTTTAACTACTTTTATTGGTTTGTATAATTTAGCTGAAGGTGCCTTATAAAAAGGACTAAAGGGAGTAATTTTTTTCCTTTTTCTTAAAACAATCTTATGGTTTTACAATTTAAGGGAGGTCACCAATTTCTTCCTTAAATTCACCATACAAACTTATCTTATATTGTATTTATTTGTTTATTTAGGAAGCATATTTTGGTAGATTGTTAGTGATATATGAGGGAGAGAAGTGTTTGTTTATTATTTGATCTTGCATAAAGTTCACGTGACAATCAAAAGAAATTGTAGACTAGTTCCTTTTATTTGACCAACCATGCTAGATCATATGAACATATTTTACTTTATTTTCACTCATGATAAACCAATTTTTCACTTGATACATATGTAATTATGTATATTTGATCCGGGACAAAAAGTGTTCTATTCTCATATTTCAATTAAAAAACTGCTTGAAGGTGCTGATGCTTGATGACTTGTGTATATTTATCTTATATAGTACTTTGAGTTGTGATATATTCCAAATTGGAAGAGAGTGAGGTTTTCACGACTATTATATCATATATTAATGAAATGGAAGAAAAATTTATCAGTGCAAATGTGAAAATTAAACCTCAATAGTCTTTCTAAGTGGTAAATGGTAATATGTGCTCTTAAAGTCTTTAATGATAAAGAACTCTACCTTTAGCACAATATAAAATGACAGTGTTTTAATATGAAGAATTAATCTCCCAATGTTTGGTCATTGATTAATGTTTGTAAGATTAGTGCCCTCGTTTTAGTCTAAATTATTATAGCATGCAACAGGCTGTTACAAGCTTGTGCTGGCAAAGGTCAAAGCCAGTTATTGTTGATGAAAGAAATTGCACTGCTGAGATTGCTCTTGTGGGAGATACAGTTGAAGATTCTATCCTTATGCCTGATCCTTTACCTTCTGCAACTTCATCAAGCATTTCACTATCTACATCTGTGCCTAGTACTAGGAATTCTAGTCGGCTGGGAGCAACCATTGAAGCATCTTCAATTACTGCATCCAGCAGTGGTTATATGTCAAGCATACTAAATGCATCTACTGCAGAGGAAACTCCGCAACGAAACCATTTGTGGCCTGGTGGAACCCTGTCAAGGTTGCATGCTCCACGTGGTAGTTATAATTTCAAGGATGACATGGAGGTATTCTCCCCTCTTGTGGATGTTCAACCATTAACACCTTCACTATGGGATGAAAATGGACCAAAGAAGGATAATTTATTTGCAGATAGGAAACCTTTGTTGTTTCCATCATCCAGTCGAAGATTTCCAAATTCAGAGGATGGAATCAGTGATCATCCAATTTCTGATTGGAAATCTGGCTCAACTTCCAAGCAGGTTATTCTCTCCCATGGCCCTCATGTTGAGTTTAATTGTTCTGTGAAATACTGATCTATAAACCTTCCATTCAAAGTGCAATAAACCTTTATATCCTGCAATCTACACCACTTAGTTGAACATTGTTAATGTGTAGCAGTAGCGTGGTAGCACCTGAACATTGTTGAGCTGTATTCTTTTTTTCTTTTTTTTTAATTAGTAAGGTCTCTCTTTCTCTTTTAGCCCCCTTTCTTTTAACCAAGAATGTCCTTTCTTTCAAATATTATGTTTGGGACTTGTTGAAAAAGTGGGACGTGAATTGATTTGGAGTCTATTCATATGTTTGGAACTTTTTAAAAATGGGATTGATTTGATTTTTAGTAGTTTACATTTTTAGTCTTGTGGTAAAATGAAAAAGCTAGTGAGGGTAAAATAGTTTATTTATTAATCAAATCAAATGCTAACAAATTTTATCATATTTCGTAATTTATAAGAAGTGAAATCCATGGGATTTTAAAATCAAGTCATTTCCTACATTTCAAACATAATGTTTGAATAACAAAACAAATCAAATCCCTTTTTTTTACATTCTGAACGCACTTGATATTTACTTTTAACCAGGCAGATTATCCTATTTTGACTGATTATATTGCAATCTAATTTGATGTAGGATATTACTCAGTCTTCCTTTCCTCTTGTGGGGTCAACTCCTCCATCTTCAAAGAGTGAAGATTCTTCCATCACTCCTCCAGAAGCTTGGGGTGGTGAGAGGTTAACTGATAAATATGCTTTTCCACGTCAGCCTGTCAATGTACCATCTCGTTTTGGGATGTTGGCTTCTGGTGGTCAGACAGCAGGATCAACGTTTTCTGGATTGCAGGATACATCCTCATCTGTGGCTATTAGTTCCTATACCAGTTCAAGCCTAAGTTTTGCAAATTTACGTGCTAAGGATGCATCTACAAGCCAGGAGACTTCCTTGGGGTTTACTGATCACATGTTCTCTACTTCTTTGCCTTTGTCCATCAGTACAAAAACCAGCCTTGGACAAGCAAATGTTGATTCCCCAAGAATCGTTGCTTCCCCAAGAATGTCATCTTTTCCTCGAAGATTTTCTACTTACGCGGAAAGAATAAGCACTACATCTACCTTCAGTGATGGAGTATCCCTTACGGTTGGTTCGCCTAAGATTAAGAAATCAGGAGCTGAAACCAGAGAAGAACTTCTGAATAGCTTGCTGTTGAAGTCTGATGTATCTGCTCCAACAGAATCAGGCTCTTTACCGCTGACAAGTGTATGTTAATATATACAAATTAATTAGATCTGATTATTGCGTTGCATATATTGGTGTTTAAGTTAGAAGAGAGTAAATCTTTTTTCTCTTCAACTTTGAATCTTCTATTGCTGTGCTTTGAGACTTAAAGTACCCCCATGTATGGATTTTGTTGATATAGATAATATTACTTTCGGTGTTATTCAGAATGCGTATTAACAGAATCCATTATGATAGTCTGTTAAATACATTTTTATTTTAGTTGCTCTAGTGTTCTTATCTTACACATTTGTCAAATTTAATGTAGGGAATCATCTCACAACAGAAAGCGTCTCAGTCAGATGCACAACAAGGATCTACGTTTACACTTCAACTTTTTCAACGGACACTGGAAGAAACTCTAGATTCCTTTCAGAAATCCATACACGAGGATATGAGAAACCTTCATATTGAAATTTTAAGACAGTTTCATATGCAAGAGGTGTGCATCTGGAATTAGTGATGGTGATTTTCATTTGTTATTTCCTCTCTAATTAATTGTCTCATTCAACAGACGGAAATGTCAACTGTGATGAACTCCATTCTGGAAAACCAAGCCGAGCTGATGAAAGAAGTGAAGTCTCTTCGTAAAGAAAACCAGCAGCTCAGACAAATGCTTTGATGGGTGTGAATAAGGTTGCAACATTTTTCTTTGGCAGAGTGTCGTTGTGTCCTATCTTGTGATATCTTTTCTTTTGCAAACTAGCAATTGATGTACGACCTGCTATGGTCATCTTTATTGCGTCTTAGGTTTTAGAAGGTGGTGGTTGAAGAACATCTTGAGAAAATTGCTTTGTACTGGAAAAGGGCTTTGAAAATGTACAGGGATGTTGATTTTTTCAATTACTGGAGCTTTGTTGGGTTATCCATTGTGTTGTGTTTGGATCGAAATTATTAAAATTTTAGAAAATATGAAAGCAACAATGAAAAATGCTTAGAGTGTAAGTCAAATATGAAGGAAGTTATAAATGATAAATATAAAAAATTAAGTATAATAGAGGGATTTTTAAATTCTCCTGAAAAGTAAGTCATTTTAATTTTTTCACTTGACATAAAAATTATTTAATTAAAATTTTATAGCATTTTAAAAGTATTCTTTTTTACTATTTAAATACATAAATTGTGGTAATTTCCTTATCCAAACACAACTTTAGACAACCTAGTGTGTTTAGAAGTCGTAAAATTTCGATACTTATTGAAATGCACTAAACTGATGTTAAATGTTAATGGAAAAAATATATATGCAAAAGAATAATTTAAGACATTACTATGCGGATTAATATTATGCGACAGAACAACGTAAAATTTAATAAATGAAATACTCAAATGATTTAAAGATACAAAGTTATTTAATATAATTTATATTTACTAGATTTTTTAATGGTTTTATACGATAATATTGTATAGAATTTAATTGAGATATATATTTTTATATTATTGTCTAATTATGAATCATTATATTAATAAACATTAATTTTATATTAATTATTTTAAAAGTTATTTTTTTATATATTTTAATTAATTGATGATGTAATTTATTTTTTTACTTTATCAGTATTCAAATTAAACTCAATTCAATAAATGATTCGTAGATATCTTTGTTAACAATCTTTATGTCTTGATGCATGTTCTGTTCTTGATAAGTCTCTAAATTCTAACTCAAATAAACTTTTTATTAAAAAAAATATTTTATAACTGAAGTTATTTAACAATTTATTGACGTAAAAGTGTGCCATAAATAATATATTAATGACACCATGATACTTGTATCTTGATTTGATTTTCAAACAGCTTCCAGGAATGATGGAATCGAGATGGTGAAAGACTATAATAGGATTTGAGACTTCTATGTTAACTTTGGTGTAAAGGGAAGGAATGCCATTCAATGTTTTAACTTTGAAATCGATTAATTTCTACGATCATTTTCTAGAAAAACCAAATGTCATTGTTATTCTAATATTTTCAATAAATTCACGAAATATTAATATTTAACACGTAGGGTATGATTGACATTTTACAATTTTGAAGGAGTAAATCGAGGACTGTTCAGAAAAAAGGAAAAAAGGGGTGAGTAGGAGGATCCAAATCCTTGACATGCAACTGCAACTGTGACACTACACCATGCCATGCATGAAGGGAGTGAGACCCTATATATACTTGAAGCGATCCTTCTCTTGCAATTGTTCGACCACAATTGGCCAAAACAAAAGAAAACAAACAAATAAATACAATAAAAGTAAAACGCATACCACAAAAAGACAATTGTTTCTATCCCTTTTCAATCCTTCAAGGCTTCAATCTCAACCCCACCCTTCACACACTTTCTGTTTCATTCAGAATTCAAACCTCACTCGCCATGGCTGAACAAGGTTTTCCCTATCCCTCTCTATCTACACTATCAAACTTCATATTTCACTCCTTTCAATCTCATGTTCATTCTCCTTCCTTCTGAAGTGCTTCAACTCAAAGTTAAAATTTTTATTTTAATTATTTATTTTTCCCACTTTTTTCGTGGTGGGGTCTTTTCTTTTACAGAAGGTGGCAATGGGTCACAGAAATCCTCATCTTTGAGTCCCTATGAAGAAGCATTGGAGGCCTTGTCGTCTTTGATCACTAGACGCACTCGTGCTGATGGTAGCAATATGGGGAATCACTTTGACCTGTTATTTGAGTACTTAAAGGTAAAAAGTTTCTGAGTGTGATCGCTTTGTTGGGATTGTTGATGAGGTTGAGGTGTTAACAATGATGTGAAATTGCATAGATGCTAGATTTGGAGGACCAGATAGCAAATATGAAGATTATCCATGTGGCTGGTACTAAAGGGAAGGTACTTTCGCTTTATTTTGGTTGTTGCTTGCAAATGAAGGCATCATAAGAAGTTCAATTTGTATCTTGCATTGATTGATATGTTGTAGTTGTTTGTTGTTGTGGCCTCTTATAGTTAAAGAGAAGCCGGACTTTGGATTTCTAATTCTATGCTCATGTCAGTCACAATTAGTGATTCTTTGCCTATTGTAATGATGGAAAATTTTCTTTTGAACTGTGATTCTGTAGGGATCTACGTGCACCTTCTCAGAATCTATATTACGTAACTGTGGTTTTCACACTGGACTCTTTACATCCCCTCACCTCATTGATGTCCGAGAAAGATTTCGTTTAGATGGGTGAGTGATTCATACCATGTTAATTTTTTGGCCTTCACTTTTGCGTTCATCCACTTGTGTCATTTCTCATTTTGTGTTAATTTGATATTTTTAACGGGGATTTGAATTCTTTGATCTTCACGATGTGTCTGTCATCTGCTTGGTGGAGGGTGCATACTAGTTTGGCTTATGAATTCATCATTATTTTGAATGGGCAATTTGAATTATCTGATCTCCATTTAGTGTCTGTTGTGTGCTTCATCAAGGTTGCATTGCATACTAATTAAGCCTCTGAATTCTTATTATTTTGTTGATACCAGACTTGTTTTATTACAAAATTATTCTTTAGTATTGGCACTTTTGTTATTTCACTAAATTTTGCAGACCAAGGAAAATACATTATATTATGCCTTTAGTTGCAACATAATTACAGTTCTTTGATTCATTAGTGTTAACCTTGTTGATTATGCAGTATGGAAATCTGTGAACAGAAATTTTTAGCATATTTCTGGTGGTGTTATGATAGACTAAAGGTATGCTTTCGATGCATAAATATTTCATTTGAATTTGTTTGGGCACAAGTTTTGATAGTGTGGAAAACCAGGTTATCCTTTTATCAATTTGTACTCTGAACCATAGCCAAAAAGAATATTTTCTGCTAATTATTTTGGGAGTTTTGAAGCTATTCCATTGCTCTCTTTTGAGTTGTTGCATTGATTTCAGAAGAAAAATAGAAATGAAAGAGCAAATAATTGGTCCTGTTTGGTGCCCTAGACAAAACTTTAGTGAGCTGGTAAAGCATACAGCAGAAAGGAGTCTTAATAGTTAACTCTCAAGTGTTGTTTAATTGAGGAAATGAACAAAAGGTTGTGGGTGTTGACGTCGAGGTGGTTGGTAGGTATAAGGGTGGTCTATCAATCTGAATATCATTTGGAACAAAATTAAATGGAAAAGAAGAGAAGAAAAACTGGTTTTATTTTACAAAATGGTGAATCTATAAGAATCACCTTCTATTCTGTAAACTAACATTTTTATGCAATAATCACAATTAATTCTAGTTTAGTTTAACACTACTATCATGTTGTTAAGTTTTTTGCTTGCTTAACCATCAAATTGATCACTTAGAAGTGATGTTACATTCTCTTTTACAACGTAACTTGATGTGTTTGCTCATAGCATTAATGCAACTGATTTCTCATGTTGGTGATGCAAAGGGAAAAACTGATGACAATATTCCAATGCCTACCTATTTTCGTTTCCTTGCTTTACTTGCCTTCAAGATATTTGCTGCAGAGCAGGTTTGATCCCTGTGCTTTAAATTTCTTCAAATAACTATTTGGTGTATATAAATATTTTTTGTATATGTGGTTATTAATGATTTTTTTTTTCTGAATTTTTTATGTAGGTAGATGTTGCTATAATGGAGGTTGGATTAGGTGGCAAATATGATGCAACAAATGTGGTATGTTTAATTTTATTTCATCAGAAATCTGTTGGTATCTAACATTACAAAAGTGTCTGATTAATGAATATTGAATCCCTGTATTTGTTATATTTTCTATGAAGTTAATATCTAGGAACAAGCTCATGTGCTTGTATTGATATTTCAGGTTCAGGCACCAATTGTGTGTGGAATAACTTCCCTTGGGTATGACCACATGGAGATTCTTGGTTAGTTTTCTATTTTTGAATTCTAGGTAATCACTTAATGCATGGCTATTGTTTATGAAATTTTATGTTTTTAAAATTTATATAATATACAAGATGATTCCGGATATGGTTGAACAAAATGTTGCTTTGCCAATAATTTGTTCAGCGGTTTTATTTTACTTATTCTGGATTTTATTAACAGGGAATACTCTTCGAGAAATTGCTGGTGAGAAGGCTGGTATCTTCAAGGTATGTTTTGAAAATTGTTTTTTATTTCTGTCTACAATGTGCACTTTCTTCCTAATAAATTCCTTTTATTTATTTGTTTGTTTGTGTTTCTAGAATCGGATTCCAGCTTTTACAGTGCCTCAACCTGATGAAGCAATGCATGTGCTTGAAGAGAAGGCTTCTCAATTAAATGTACGTGAGTTCTTTCATGAGGTTTTTTTTTTCTGAAATAAATCTGAATGACTTATCACATGGCGCAACTGTAGACTATTGGCATGTTAATACCAAGTAAAAGGGTGCAAGTTGGCACTGTGTTTAGGATTAAAAATGCAAATTCATTATACTGTATGATGTGTTCCATAGCAATGTAACATATTGGCCTGTAAATGTAATTTAACATGTCATATTCATATCGCATTTTATTTATTTGTGCCTTCATACTTACTGTACTTTTCTATTTGTTAATGATCATCTGAAAGCTAGGGTATATAACACATATATTAAATCTAAATAACTTTTCTAGCTGCCCTCGATCAGCTAAGCAAATCACCAATTCCAGGTACCTCTTCAAGTGGTAACCCCATTAGATGCCAAATTGCTAAATGGTTTAAGACTTGGTCTTGAAGGTGAGCACCAATATTTTAATGCTGGTCTTGCCATTGCACTGTGCTCGACATGGCTGAAAAGGACTGGGCATCTTGGAGATATTTATTTGGAACAAACCGTAAGTTTTAAAATAGTTATTTTTACACCCTTTTCTTCTTTTCTGACACCTTGTTGCTGAAGAGATTCATCTACCTGCATAAAGGACACTTTGCCAGAGAAGTTCATAAAAGGGTTAACAAGTGCAAGTTTGCAAGGAAGGGCTCAGATTGTTCCTGACCAACACATCGAGAATGAAAGATCAAATGAACTTGTTTTCTTTTTAGATGGGGCTCATAGCCCTGAAAGCATGGAAGTGTGTGCAAGGTGGTTTTCTCTTGCCATTAAAGAATACAACCCGGACCAAATCTTGTTCCATCAGCAACCTGATAATTCTAAACTCCCACATGAAGTAGTGAAGATGCACCATGGGGAAAGGGGATCCCAAAGAAAATCCACTCCGGTAGAGTATAGATTTAAAATCATACTTTAAGTAGCTTCATTGAGATATATGCACATATAAGCTGAGAAACTAGCAGTCAAACTTGGATGTTTATGTCTCTGTAAAATAAAAGTATGCCACGTCTGTTCTGTTGAGCGAGTTGCACCACAGATGTTTTATCCAAGAATTACCTATGTATAGTAATATCTGATGCCCTTAGTTAGAAAATCATCATTTATGGAGCCTGACATGTTTAACCTTATCTTAAAGGCAGATATATTACTCTTAATAGGAACCATAAAAATACAGATTATTGATTTCTTTAGGCTTCATAGACACCATCTTTTTGAAGTATATAACTTGAGATACGTTAATGACCTTCTTGGTAAGTTACCATAATCTTCTATTTTGAATATCAGTTTAAAGCTAACATTGTATTCTAATTCAACCATGGGAGGTCATATATCCAAACGCTTTGGCTTTTTACAAGAGTTATAGTTGTACCTTTGTCATCCATGTTCTTTGTGAATTTTAAGAAGTTTGTACACTGTTCTTGACTGATATTTGACTTCCATATTTGGGAGGTGGGAGCCCATTAATGATTAAAATAAGTTGCATTCTCCATTAATGTGTCAATCTTTGATATGAAACCGCCAGTTTTTATGTTTTTGCTTGACATCTCAATTGGACTTTGCTCATCAGATATCAGGATAATCATAAGCCATCGGCTGTCTTTTCTCTTAAAATTAAAGCTCATGAGATAAGAGTGGAATTGCTACTACTAATTTAAAAAAAAACTGATTTTTCATTTTCATGGAATTTGAGTTGAAGTCGTTGAATTATTTGCAGATATTGCTGTTCAATTGTTTAACTGTGCGAGATCCTCAGTTGCTTCTTCCTTGCCTAATGAAAACATGTGCTGATCATGGTCAGTTGTTTCTGGATTATGCTAAAATACAATATACCCAAATAATGGTTTAGAAAGGAGATGATTAGAAAACTTCTTAAAATTAATAATATTTGGAAGTTAAGTGGCTTTCTTCTCCATTGGATCCATGATTTATTGTGTTTATTAGGAGAAAAAGTAATGCAAAACATGTTTTCCAGTGGCAATTTCTTTTTTTCGTGAAGAAAGCATTCTTCGTCCATGACATAAAGAAACAATCAAATTGAAATTGTAGGTGTCTACTTCAAGAAGGCGCTCTTTGTACCAAGTTTATCTGTGTATAACAAAGTGGGATCCCAAGCTTTAACCCTGACTGAGTCTAAAGTTGATCTGTCATGGCAGTTCACTCTTCAAAGAGTGTGGGAAAATCTCATGCAAGGCAACAAAGGTATTGATTAATGACATAGTTATATGTCTAAAATACAGACTGATGAATTTGATAATTTGAGATCGTTTGAAGTTACGCAATAGAGTGAACCATAACTGTTGATGGCAGCTAGCAGGTGCAGATACTAGTCTGTGTCGAACTGTAGATTTAGGATGTTCTAGCTTCTTGCCTAGTTTATTTTGTTAAAATCTGAACTACGTAGGTTGAACTAATGGGCCAAATGACTTGAGAAAATAGCAAGGGAAACTTTCTTGTGTGGAGAGCTCCTTTGGCTGTGTGGGATTAGTTTTTGTAACATTCATCATCATGGTAGTTTCTATTACTAGGCCCTGCTCTGGCCTTGAGTTGATGCCTAAATTTGTCTCACTTGGCATGTAACACTAGTAGCCTAAGTTGGGTAAATTTATTTTGGCTTTCTCTATCTCTATTGGCTATGTGGCCTATGCCCTATGGCTAAGTCTACAACGGCAAAATTTGACTAGATGAGGTTGGCTAAATGATCATTTGATGTCACTGGGTTTTATCGAAAACCAAGATTTCAATGAAACCATTTAGAGTCTGGTCATTTCCACGTCTTTAAATTGTTGTCGTGGCAATATGACTGCATCAGGTGACCTTTTAAATCTTGATGAATTTAACGATTCTCCTTGAGTTTTCCTTTGATATTTTTCTACCCCTTTTAATAAGATTTGCCTTCCTCTCACATATGAGACCATTTCAGCAGAGTTTCTATCATATTCACTCCTTGATAGCTGTTACTCTAACTTTCTCCTAAATAGGCTTTACTGCATGATGAGACAATAGCAATGTCTTCTCTACAGATATTTTTACTTTTTTTTTCTCTCAAGTTAGAGCTTTATAATATTTTCTGACTTTAATTTGTTCGTGGACACTTGGAACAGGGAAAAGTATTGACATTGTTTCTGAAGAACTAAAAAAAGATATGGAAATGAGTGCCAGTAATTGTGAACATAGTGCAGTGTTTCCCTCATTGCCAATGGCAATCAAATGGCTCAGGGATAGAGTGCAACAAAATCAGTCAGTTCGCTTTCAGGTAACACAATCACACTTGATAATTGCAAATATCTAATATATCGTGCACTTCAATTCATAGCTCACATAGCTCTCGTATTTTACTCTTAACAAATTTTTATTGTAGTTGAAAAACATGATACAAGGTTGTGTATTCTGAACATTTTGCTTACCATATTCACTATTTTCTACTCTACTTGTAAGATTTGAACTATCCCTTCTTTATGCCCCAACGTATTGTGTGGATTCAGAGTAGAGAATACGGGTGGATATCTAAAATTTCTCGAACTATATACATCTTTGTTAAAAATTACTGCTCTTTGTCTATGTGAATTATATTATATATATATGTTTAGTATCGATTTCTGACTGAATTTGTGTGGCTGATGCATCAGGTCCTTGTAACTGGCTCTTTACATCTTGTTGGTGACGTCTTGAAATTAGTGAAGAAGTGATTCATTGTTCAAATTTGAAGTTTTCATTCAAGATAGGCTTCCATTTCAATTTTGAAACACATGATGTGCCAGTGTATTCATGACGATATTCCTGGCGAGTTTTCTCTAGCATTAACACAATTCATTGCAGAGTTAGTACCATACTTTTGTTCTGAAAATTCAACAGAATCTCATCAACCCAACACCCTTGGAAATTCCTTTGATACATCCATTCCATTGGTTCATTCTTAAGGGTAGACCTTTTCTTCTAAAGAAATGTACATTCGAAATTCCTTTCACAATATTATCTTTGTTTCTTAAGGAACAGTTTCACAATATTCAAGGTTTTGTAATATTTCCAAACTTTGAAAAATCAGTGAAATCCTTTGTAAATTGCCTCATTTGAGCAGGAGCCTATACTAATTCAGAATTTCAAGAATAGCAAGTACGATTGATTAATTCCAACACACCCTTTTCAAAGTAATAAATTCAGTAGTCCATAATTCCACTCTCAATATACGATGAAGTACAAAATTAATTCTAAATTGATACAAAATATTACAATCAATTCCATTAAAGCATTATTCAATTGCTTATACAGCAAATATGTATTAATGTATATGGACAAGTTCATTGCATGGTTGCGTATCGGACGGTATGGCGTCTGAGCCACAACTGATACATGATAGTGTTAAACGCATCGAACGGCAAAGGAGGGTGGTTCCACTGAAAGTGCTTACTCGCCACCACACCCAATCCTTTTATACGCTCGTGACGTACCCTCCACGTGTCACCCAACACACGCGTCACTCCTTCCCCGCTTCTCACAAACACTGCTATGTCCCCCCACCTCAGCACATCCATAAACGGCATGTCGTTGACCGGTCCCTCCGTAACCACCACAGGGACGCAACCTAAACGCAACGCTTCCCCTATCCACGACGCGTCGTTGCCGGATTCCCCCACGCAAAACTCGCCTCCCCCATCCAATCTCCCCGCATGTGCTTCAGTGTCGTTGACCAAAGTGGTTGCACGTACTCGCCTCATCCGTGAGTGGGGTTCGGGGAGCGGGGGTAGCGTGACGTCCTTGTGTGGAACGAACTTGTCGTGTCGCGTGGGGAAACACGAGATTTGAATGGCGTTTTTCTTCAGCTCGACGAGGTTTCTGTCGGATTCAGGGGGGATTCCGGCGCAGGAGAGGTAGAAGTGGTCGGAGCCGAGGGCGCGGTTCCAGTAGGGAAATTCGGTGCGGACGCGTGCGATGAAACGCGCGAGGGCGCGCCTGGAGATATTAGGGGAAAAAGGGACGAAAAAAAGGTGTGCTTCCTCGGGATCCTGGGTGATGTAGGTGCTGTTCTGGAGTAATGAATAGAACAGTGACTCCACCTTGGTCGCCAACTTGAATTCAGCCTCTTCTGGTTTGTACATGAATACTTTCAAACTCTTAACCATTTTCTGATAATTGAGGACCACTGTGGTGGGTGAGGAATTGTATTGTGCTTGTGATACCACAACCGAGGAGGAGCGTAACAATAGTAATAGTAAAACTACGTAAACGTTGCTCTTCAATGGGAACATGGTACAGTGTTATCAAACTGAACCTTTACTTCGTGAAGTTTAAGGCAAATTGTGTTGCTTTGGAAATTTGGGAGGTTGAAGACGATCTACAAGGAAAGAAGGTCAAACGTCACCTTCCCATGCATATTCTTCGTTGAGTTGACGGTGACACTTTGGCAATAATTTATGAAAGCGTTTATAAAGATTTAATAGTAACCCCTAGCGTCAACATGTCTGGGTGGTGTAGTTGGTTATCACGCTAGTCTCACACACTAGAGGTCCCCGGTTCGAACCCGGGCTCAGACATTAATTTTAATTTTGTTAAATACACGAGCTCACGAAGTGCTCCCGATTGAGCCCAATTACTTTTAATCTCTGAAACTACATGTGCAAAAGCGATCCATTGCCAATAGACTTGGCCGCTTCTTATAGCCCAATCACCTGAGCCTCGTTGGAAAGAGAGGCCCGTGTAAAAGAAAACTCGAAAATAATAATTATTAATTATTAAATTAAAAAAGAGGATTAGAGGACGTGTCTGACCCGGTTGATAGACATTGAAGGTGGGGTCGGATCCTGTGAATGCGAGAGCAGGGTATTTTGTTTGCAGTGGTCTGCACGCACGTTCCTTCCAAACGACGAAAAGAAACGGTTCCTTGAGCTATCTAGGGCTCCATTCCCACTCTGAACTCCCCAATGATTTGTTGAACTAACCAGATTCTGTTCGAGTTCTTTGTTTTCTCTGCATTGTATTGTAATTCCATGGAGGAGTCTTCTTACACCGGTCTTCCCACTAGCCACTTGCTCGGTTCAGTTCCTGTCAGCATCGTTCCTTTTTCCTCTTTCATTTCTTCCATTCACATGCCATTATTCCTTCTACTCACTTACTGCATGTTTGATCGTGTTCATTTAGTTGATCTCCTAAATTTTCTTTAGGAATTAAGTTCATTGTTGTCAAAATTATACGGAAGCGAAAAAGTGAAGTGAAATTATTGATTATAATAGCAAGAGCAGCAAACTCATTTCTAAAATAAGACTTCGGTTAATTATGCTTGTAATTTTATATGTTTTAGATTAATTTGATCTATTTGACTTGTGGCTTTATATTTCAATGTCTTTCAAATCCTTTTGATTTCGAATTTTATGATTTTTGTAGTGCAGAGTAAAAGTTATTTTGTTGATGATCGTTTCCGATCTGAATTACTGTAATGTTTCCTTTTAGTTAGTAAAGAGTTCTTTTGTTATATTCTAATTTATCTCTGCATTTCTGGTTCTCTACTCTACCTGGTTGGTGCTCAGGCTGTGATAACTGAAGATAATAATACAACGAAACATGTGGGTATGGAGTTATAGCATTGAACTTTTGTTTCTTATCTTGAGATGTTTATTTTTACCTACTTTTAAAGTTTCATTCCCACTAAAGCAAATTGCATACGACTTACGAGAGTACATGATACATGTAGTCACTGATGAGAGTATGCAAATATTCCCTCCCAACAATGGTGGAGACAGAGGACGGGGATATCAAACACTTGGCAGTCCTACTGGTATGCTGTCGAAGTTTTTGTGAGTGAATTTTGAGATTGTTGTTTCTTTGTTCACTCGCTCTCTCTGTATATAAAATGATTTAATGATATGTTTGTAGTCAATGGCTGTTTCCTGATGGAATGGTAAACACCAATCGGTGTATACTTTGTAATGAATTCATGACTGGTGTGGAGAAGATTTTTTTACCTTGTTTAATTTTAGCTATCTTAGAACTGACTAATTTAATTAGAGCTTTGAAGCAGTTTTTTCTTCATCTTCGCATGATATTGTCTGCAAATTTATGTGCAATATTTTCTAAATTAGTTCCTGTCATTTTGTGCTTAATTATTTTGAAATTGTAAAATTAAAAAACAATTATAGTGAGTATAGTCCCAACTTCTGAGGCCTTTACTCAGCTCTTCTTTGGGTGAAGAGTTAGCATTTTCTGTAATTTCTTTAATATGTTTCTGTTGTAATCACACGTGTTTAAAGTTGTTTTCATACTCCCAAGCATGATTGCTGAAAGTTTGTTCTGTTTTTTGCCTTTGTTCTTTCTAGGCTTTGGAGCCAATTTGAACTGCTTGACCATGGTTGTCTAAGAAATCAAACTTAGTAGTTATTTTATTACCATTGTCATCCTAACATTCCACTGAGTTAATTTATATTGTGACCCCTTTTGCCTTATGTGACTTGATGAGAAAGTTTTGATGCTGTCTCTTAACCAAATACAATTTAATTTTCTCTTTACACTTGCATCGTAGTTGCCTCTTCTGGATAAAAGGAATTATTACTGTCTAATTAAATTATATATTTTAGATGCTTGTTATCGTGTCCATAAACTTGAAAGGACATCTTATACCTTTTTTAAATCGACGGTTATAATTGTTTCTAATATCTTAAAAATTAAAGAACATTTGTGCCTTTGTAAGATAGACCACTAACTCCCACTATCTATTATACATATTTAATATATCATTAATGGCGATGATTATTTCATGTATGAACAGCATAAAATGCTCTCTTAATCTTCAAGACACCATAAAATTTACCTATATATTAATTTGTTTTTATTTATTTGATATTTTCATATGTTAACACAAATTAACATCTCAATCAAATGCTCTCTTATCACATCTCAATCAACAATTGCCTCTTGTTAACACAAATTAACATTTACAAAGTTTTTAGCTATTTGATACAATTTTTTTGTATTTCATACAGTCATTAGTGAGAACAATCCTTGAAACCAATATAGCACACATGCATAATATCTTCTGAACCAACACACACACATATCGACCATACTTCATGAATTACATTTACACACTGCTATTATCTGTACAAATCAAAAGAAACCCATCTCTAAACATCAAAAGTATTTCTAATTATGACTTTATGCAACTAATAATTGCATATCATAAGTGTTATGGTTCCAAAAGTTAACCCAATTGTTTTTCTGAAATTTGAATGGTCTATTGATTTTAGTTTCATCTTTGATGAAGATTTATTTCTGTGATTGATTCTATAATGAGATTTGTGAACAGCTGCCGTTTATATTTTCGTCGTCACTTGCTGATATAATATTGTCATTTATTAATCTCTGGTTTGTTCATCCATGTAGAAGCTTTTGAACAACAGCCAGCAAGCAACTGGAGGGGAGTCTTTAGTGTTTCATCTTACTCACAGTATTTCAATGTAGATACCGATGTTGTCCTAACCAGATTGATAAGTTCCTTGAATCCAGTTGGTGGAGACTTTTTCAGCAAGATAGATGCTAACCCTGATTTGTGCGTAGTTTTTTTTTTACCCTTGTGCTTCTGTACTTGCCTTAATCAAAACAGAGTTACAACTTTGGATTATATATCAAAATATGGTACTTGGGGAATTTTACCATGACATTTTGGGGGAAATGCCTGTCATTTTGCTTCACATCCTGTTTCTTCTTTTCCATAGATATTTGTGCTGAAGGAGACATTTGCTGAATGTAACTAGATTTTCAGTGCCCTTCCCCCAAAAGCATAAATTGTTCATATTAATGAGTATCTAATACTAATGGTGCAATTCTTTTTTGTGTTCCAGATATGGGCTTATATGGATCTCAACTACATTGGTTTTTGTGCTTGCCTCAATTGGAAATTTGGCTACATTCCTTATTCAAAAACATGCAGATAACAGTACCTCTTGGAGCTTTGATGTCAGCTATGTGAATATGGCTGCTTGCTCTATCTATGGCTATGTGATAGTGGTCCCATTGGCATACTACTTCTTCCTTCAATATATGGGTTCAAATGCTAGCCTTATAAGGTTTTGGTGCATGTGGGGATATTCCCTCACCATTTTCATCATCTCCTCTGTAAGTTTCTGTTTTCTCCAATGTGGCTGATCAAGCTATTATTTATCCTACAAATAATATTGCACAAATCTATTTTTTATGTTCTAGTACACATGTTCAGTGTGGGGAATGTGGGCCTGAAAGGGAAAATTGGCACGGACATTGCCTCAACATATTGAGGCACTCCTCGACAGGTCGAAGGACCTTTGGGCTCAATCTCATCCCTGATCACACAAGTACCATTTAGAAACTTAGGCTTGGGTGGTAATAAGATGGCAACGAATTGTTAGAGGTCCGGTGATTTATTTTTTTCCTTTTGTGTTCAGAATAACAATAACATATCCTTTATCCTGATTGGATAACTTTACTTCTTTTCACATGATTGTTGTCATAAAATATGATTTATTTTCTAAGTTCAAAGTTCAAACTGATTTTTTATCAGTCATGATAGGAAATTACGATTTACATCACCAGCTTGCTAATTATGCTTCAATTTTGTGGAGTCTTTCACATTGCTATCTAATTCATATTTCTTGGGATTCTTTCAGTTTCTGTTGATAATTCCAGTTGAGATTCTACGGTGGTTTATAATAATCATTACTGGTGTTGCCTCTGCAAGCTTTGTTGCCTTAAACCTGAGGTCTTACATAGAGGGCAATGAACTTTCATTGGCAATTTTTGCGGCATTTTTCTTGCAAATAGGTTTGGCTGTCTTCATCAAGGTTTGGTTCTTTGCGTAGCTAAAATGCGTTGCAGTAGTGAAGAATAAGACCCAAACACTACCATTGTTAGCTCACTCCAATCGCTAACACCGTTCAAAATGCGAGTGGAGTTGTTCCGCAGCAGAATTGGTTTGTCTATTCTGGATTTACTAGAATGGGAGGGAGAAGAATTGCAGAGAGTTGTGCAATTTCTGTATCAGGTCGGTCTTAGTGTCCGTATCAATTTGGCCTAGAGTCTTGGGAAAGGGATGAACAATCATTGATTGTGGTATTTGCGCATGTTTGAGCTTCTGCATATATTTGTGTAAATACACTGAGTCAAGTAAATCTTTTTTGGTTTTTTTAAAGAAGGTAGATGTTTTGCGTGAAGCCAAGGGTTTTTCCTGTATTTGTGAAATCAATCTTGCTCATTTCATCCTCTCCCCCCCCCCCCCCCCCTTTTTGTCAACCACTAAGTGACTTTTTAATATCCCTTCCCTGACAACACGTTGGCAAGTTTTTGTTGTTTTTTTTTTGGCTAATGGCAAGTTGTTATTTTCAGTTGAGTGATAGGGTAAATTGTTATTCTTTTTTGTCTTACAATATCACAATTTTACCTTTTGCTCTCTCGCTTTTTAAAAGTTGTAATTTTGTCTTTATAAAAAATTCATTTTTAATATCCCTAGTTAAATGAATGACGTCACCAGCGATGTGGTCAAAGCAAAATATTCCGCTTCAAGATACAGTTTTTGTTCTTCTTTCCAGATTTTCATGACATCAAATAATTGCTAAGGAATACACAAAATCTTTGAACTCCACGCTACAGCTACTTTAATGAGCGTCGACAAAGGTTATTATGATTCATGGTGACACCTAAGGAAAAGAAATCCTTCACTAGGCGAGACTTTCCAAGTGTTGAAGTACTTGATGGATAGCTCATATCAGAGGTGGAGAGTATTGGACTTGAATGTGGATAACTTGATTCATAACAGATTTAATAAATTGCCTGAAAATAACGAGACACGTAAGTCTCCCAAACAATCTTCTATACATAGAGATGTCGTCCAATGGTTCACCACGAGGATTCAATCACATTTATGTTAAGATTCATGGCTAGTGCTAATTTAACAATTGAATCTTGTATTTATGTTGAGATAATTTAATCCTTTTAGCTAATTTTATAATTTTCAAGTCTAAGAAAGACTTTAAGCTGCTAGCAGGGATGTACATGAAACAAGTTGAGGCCGATTTATTTTTTCCCTTGAAAATTTTTAGGATTATTTTTTTAGACTTGAACCCAACATAAGCAGAACTTGATAACATTAGTATAAGAGCAGGTCAATCCGATTTATAAACAAATATAGCTAAATTGTAGAACTAAATAAATATATAATTAAAATTAAAGTATATTTTATGGTAAATAATTTAAAACGAATAATATAAATATAATAATATACAAAATATTATTTTTTTAGTGTTGAAGTTCATTTTTAATACATGATTACTTTAAATAGTATAAATTTTAAAATAAAAACAACATTGAGCTGAGCTAGGATAACTAAAACCGATTTTAAAATACACGAGGTTCAATTTTAAAAATCCAAACCACCCATTAAAATTAGTAGCGAGACAAGATGAGTTAGCAACTATTATTATGTCTTACACACTTTTAGTTGCCAATAACTTTAAGCTTATAAATTGTTTATAATATAATATAATTTTATTATATTATTTCAATATATCATACTAAAGATAGGTTTTACCAACTTCATAAATATTCTCTTGGATAAAAAGAGCAAATATTTCGAATCACCTAATGGTAATCACGTGTTTAGACTTTCAAAATTGGTTAACTAATTCTCTTTTTTCCCTCCAACTTAACGATTTTCTAGACGAAAGTCAAATTTGATTTTTCTCAGAAGTGAAGTTTTATTATAGTCGTCCAACTGAAGTTGTTTCAACCTTTCCAATTAGACATCCAAATAGACTGTCAGTCCTTGACCATTCTAAGTATGAAACTAGCCTTCCTAAAGTAGATTTCTCACGTTCCCTATCATTTGGTACGAGTTTCTCCACAAAGTCCTTTGTGGTCATTTATAGTCTTTAATACTTTGATCTTTGATTAACCCAATCAATCCAATAACATATTTTCAACCATTTAAACTGTGAAATTGACCTCTAACTTCATTTTAACAAATGCTTTTTTATTATTAATTAAAAATTATGTTAGTTATTCTAAATGAAAAATGAGACTAAATTTTAATAAATTCTACTAGAATTTAATCAGTCTGAAAAATACTATATTATTAAAGTTTAATTATATTTTTTATTCCTATAAATATTTGACATTTTTAATAAGTCTTTCTAAATTTTTTTTGTTAGAATTTAATTTTTAAAAGTTAAAAAATTAAAATTTAACCTTAGTCATCAACTTTCTCTTGGTTAGTCTGCTAAACTGGACATGGCAAGGTGCGTTCTACTGGACGCAAAAATAGATTATTCAGCAGGCTGCAATGCCATGGTAAACTAAATGTATTCAATGACTGCAAGATTGGTAATGTCAGATATTTTTCTTTACTTATTAATCACTGCTGTGCATAACTTCTTTTCTGTTTTCAAATTTCAACTTTTAGGAAACGCTTCCTGTTCACAAGGACTTGGCAGAGAAAGGTTGGCTCAATGATATTATTGTTGACCTACAAACCAAAGGCATGACTTCTGGCAATCAGTTGTAGACTGTTTTTGAACTACATTGACTGGATAACACATGACAAAACTGATTTTTGTAAAATGAACAAATCAACTTGTTCTTTATTTTTTATTTATTTATTTAAATCTGCTTAGAAGACAAATATCAATAAATCCTGTTCTGTTATATGCCTTAAATGTGTACAGTTTAATGGTTAGGAGTTTGTTTACTTGTGAATATTTCTAAAATGAGCATTTCCTGTTTGAGCTGAGACTTTCATTTTTCAAAAAGATCCTAGTGATATTGAATTGTACATGTTGATTGAGACTTAAAATCTTAATAATGTTCATTATTTTTATTTTTGTTGATTCATATATAGCCGAGCAATTTAAATTAATTCTCTAGGTAATTTTAGAAAAGAAAGGCACATCCATTGTTTAGATTTCAGTCTGTCCTTGTGCTGACCTTAGTTTACATCCATACTAGACTAGTGGGTTTCTAATTGACATCTTTTTTAAGACTGAAAAAGTTATGTAATTGGGATTTGAATGAACCGTTGTACTGAATGTTAAGGTGTTATCTTGTAAGGTTTCTAGAATGGCTTACTTATGTAAAACTTATGCAGGTGTTCCATTATATGGAGGACCAAGGGCAAGTTGTGTGTTAAATATTCCACAGGCACGTTCCTTTCATATGAGTACATTTCGCTGACTTGCACTTTTGAAGTTGTGGTTGATGTAAATTCAGCTATTGATCATATAAATCTTTATGGAAGGCATGTCACAGTTTTCTTCTTTATAGGAGAGCAGTGAGCCTAGATGGAAAAGTGTCACATCTTTTTTTTCCCTCTTACGGCAGTCCACACACTGATTCCATCATTGCAGAAGATAATTTCATAGCTGATGTGTTTCTACGCCAAGTAGACAGGTGATATTTGAAATGCCATGCTTCTTTTTATTACTATCCTAATGATAAAATATAAATCCAGGGAAATAAAATAAAATATATTTTTCTCAATTCACTATTATGCAACGTCTTATTATTGTGGGTAATTTAGTTGGCAGTCTTTTGACCAAATTGCTTATTAGGAAACAACACTAAACAAACATAGAACTGTTAAGATTTCAGCAAATAGTGCAATGGAATTTATGTAAATATTGTTTCTCTTGTATTGGCAGTGCTGCCGTTTTTCACAATGCAAGCACAAGATTCTGTGATGGGGCTCGATTTGGACTCGGTGCAGAGGTATAATTTTTTTTTTTTGCAGTTCCATTTTCTAGTCATTCTATTGCATTAAGGTTGTTGATTTGTAATTCCATTGTGGTTGAAAAGGTTGGAATAAGTACGAGCAGGATCCATGCTCGAGGTCCAGTAGGAGTTGATGGATTGTTAACAAGAAGATGGTATGAGCTGATGGTCATTCTAATTCTTGAAAAACAATAGAAATCTTTTAGTTTTCTGTACAACTGACCATTCCATTCAGTCTCTTAGGTAACATGATGGAATTGAATGTCGCTAAACACTATTGCACGAGGGCCGCCCGATTTATGTAAAATTGATCTATGAATAGGAACCTCTCAAATAGGCCTAAAAAAGGATAACAATTAAGTCCCTTCATGTGTCACTGATGGTCTACACTGCACATATTTTTTTTTTCGTTTGTGATTAACCCAGCACTGTACATCTTAAATATAAATAAACTCCAATGCAATTCGAACGTATGATTTATATCTTGAATTTCTTCTTACCAAGATGACATGATAGTAGTAGTACTGTCACTTTATGATAAATCCAGTAAGTTATATGTGGTATTACCTATGTGTGTTACTTCTTATCGTCTTGCCTTCTACATTCGCAGGATTTTTAAAGGAAGTGGACAAGTAGCAGATGGTGATAAAGGTGTTCTCTACACCCCCAGAGATCTCTCCAATCCCAGCCCCACTTCCCCAATGCCCATGCCCAACTACCTCACCCCTACCTCCTCCCCAACTTCAACTCCCCTCTTCCTCCCATATCCAACCAACTCTCCAAACCTCCCCCCTCTCCCTCTCCCTCTCCCTCCCCCGTGTTCCTCATGTTCAACTTTCCCAAACCCCTCCCCATTAATCCCCTTCTACCCCATACTCACCCGCTCTCAGCCCCCAACCCCCTTTCCCCCATCTCCACGTCATCCAACCCCCCTTCCCATGACTCCCCCACCCCCTTGCTGTTCCAGTTCAGCCCCCTTCCCTCCCGCAGCCCCTAGCTTCCATTTACTCCCTTCCTTCCTGGGTACATAAAAGTCAGTAATTACACAAAACTTGTCTAAGCAAATTTAAGATTCGTTTTAAGTCCAAAAAATATGGAATGGATTTTTTTTATATAAACAATAATTGAGATGTTTAATTGTCTGTACCATATGTTCTAAACTGTATGAAAACCCTTATTTTTTTAATATAGAAATGAAATCCATAATGCTAACAGGTGAAGAAAATCCAAAGGAATTCAATAATATGTATAATTGCCAAAAAAAAAAAAGGGGGGGCTCAATTAGTTACTTAACCGATTCCAGCATGTCACGTTTCTAAGTGACGAAAAACAATTCACTCCAAATGAAGAGGAAAATAAAAAGGTAAAATTTATTATACCTTTTATAATCTCTCTTACACATGTAAGTATGTTAATAGATAGTAAATTTGGTAGTTTACTGCTCCCACAACAAGAATCAAATAAAAATGCATTCGAGGAATTTTGGCATCACTTAGCCAAATGTCAAGCACGTAAGCCATCGAAAAGTTTTTCAATCAAACAACCCCGGGGATAGATAAATAAATTAACCAAGCATTTTCATATATAATCTACCTTCGATAGGAACTACTACTAAACCACAATGATAAAATATCTTATTATCTTTCCCTTCGCACGGGTACGCAAGTGATCAGACCAAAACTCGGTATCGCGTCCACTCTTTCTTCAATTGACGGCTATAAGCACATAGACACGAAAGCTCATGCTTGAATGAAGCTCTTGAGCTTTTTCAGCCACACGATGTACTCCCTGCTGTCCTTGTTGATCATGTACTCATGCAAGAAATTGGTTGTGCTGGGTTTGATCCCTCTAATTTCTAAATACCTGTGGAAAGACTTCTGTAGGTTCTCATCCAAATCCCTGTAAAAAAACATTAAAATGGAAGAAATTCAATCAAACAAGACCTAACTTAAAAACTAATTAAAATGTAAATAAAATAAGAAAAAGACACAGAAAGAAGTTCATACTGGAAGTCTGGTCCCTCGTATGCAATTTGATCCTCAGCAAGCTCAGGATTCTTAACAGACAAACTGTCAATAACAATCTCATCAGGGTAAGCCACACAACTGAACTCTAGAAAGGGTCCACCCTTCTTAGAAACACTCACTGAAAGTGGAATGCTTGACTGAGATGCACTCTCACCCTCATCACTGTTTTTATCCTCATCATTCTCTTCCCCAGTGACCAAATCAGGCATGTGAACCTCTACCTTAATTTCTTCACCTTGGTACGTTCTTTCAAGTGCTATAGTCTGTTGCCCTGGACTATCAATTATCTTGAATGGAAAATTAGTCGGAACCTCTTCAACCTATCATACAATCAAGCTTCGACATTACACAAGATAAATAAAAACCAACGTCGTAACAGTAAATAAATATTAATTATATTATAAACACAAAACAACCGTCATCATCATCATATGAATTGAGAAAAGGAAGTAACTTACTGCGTCTTGATCGTCGGTCTGCTGAGCGCATTCAATCTCGGATTCGATGACTCGGAGGAGGTTCTCATCGGAGGTGGGTTTCTTCTTATAAGCCACAGAAGAAAAGTGAAACCTCGGAACCAACGAATCCTTGTGCTGGTTGATGGCGCTGAACAGCGCGGTACGATGACCGGGGTGGTTCTTTCTCACCAATTGACCCGCGACAGGAAGAGCCCTCACAAAAGAGCCCGACTTGCGAAGAATTGAGTTGAACGCCATTTCCAAATTCACAAGGTTTTACTAGGGTTTTACGATGTAAGATGATTGGGAGTTTTCTAACACTGAACTTTATATAACATAACCTACTAAGGCCCAAATGCGACTTTCGGCCCAATGTTATTGGGCCAGCCGAATAAGTTGTGCCGGGAATTTGTCCTATTTAAAAGCCCTGATTTCTCGTAGCGTATTTGATTTCCCGCTCTGTAAACCCTAACAACTACTGAGACTGAGTTGGGCTAAGAGGAAAAGCAAAAGCAAATGGGGCAGAAGCAGAAATCGAATTCCGATTCCAACAACGACGTGAAAAAACGACGCCGTGTTGGCTTCTCAGGCGTGGGTAAGTTTAATTTATTTTGCAGTGAAATTTGTGTGGGCTGATTTCTTCAATTCATGGTGCTGTGTCTTACATAAATATGTTGTTCGCACTTTGTAGATGTTGGAGTTGAAGCCAAAGACTGCATCACAATCTATTTAGGTATGCTTTAAATATGCAATATTTTTGCCATGCGACTGTGTAGTATTTTATTTGTATGGTTACAGTGTAACTCGATTGTGGGATATGGTACAGGTGATTCATGGAAATGGGTTGATGACCTTGTTTTTTGCTAATTCGTACTGGATTAACTATTCTCTGTCCTTTTTTTTCCCTTTCTTCTGGGCTTTCGTGTCTCTTTACTTGTGGTTTATGTGATGAGAGTAGTGTTGTGTGCATTGTAGGCAACCAGAATGATTTCAGTGTTTTTTTTTCTCTTTTTAATCTGAGCCATGTATTTGTAAACGTACTTGTTTAGCTTGAATGTTTGGTTTCAAAATATATTATGTTTTTTTTTTAATTAAAAAAACTGTTACCTTGTCTTTATTTTGTTTTCAAACAGAAAGTGCTTCCTAAAATCAAACAGCTCCTTATTTCTTGCTTGATCTCGGCCTATGGAAATAGAAGTTACTTGATTTGTGGTTCCTGTAGACTCTTTTCTAACTCCAGTAGATTGGACTGTGAGTGAGCTAGATTTCTTCCGCAACAGCTATTATGTGCTGCCTCTTATACTGGCAATAAGTTTCCCTGAGCTTAATTTGCTAAGGATATGATATTGCTAGTCTGTTTCAGGTCAAGATCATTATAATGGTCTTTACTCTTTACTACTATTTGGCTTTCTTGTTCATTTCTTTTACTTGCTTGTCAGTATACTGTAATTTGGCAATTGGTATGCATATTTGTGTAATGTTTGCTCATATTTTACAGTTTCAAGTGAAGAAGAATTCAACTTTCCAGAGAGTTCTGTCATTCATCCTGTGGATTTGAATAGCTTTTTTGATGATGATGGGAAAATTTATGGTTACGAGGGTCTTAAGGTCAGATTCAATTTAACAAAAATTGGATATTCATTTAGTGAAAAATAACCATTTTTGAATGTTTTATGGTGGACGATGTCTTATATTTCAGTTTGTTTTGCAGATTACCATCTGGGTTAGCAGTATATCATTCTATGCTTATGCTGATATTACATTCCAAAGCTCATCTGATGTAAGTGCTGAATTGATTGAGAGTTAAGACTAATGGGGAAAGTAATATATCCATTCTTTTACATTGTTGATTAGCTCAGAATTTTTCTTGTTTTGCCCCGGGCATTATGGTTTGACATCTTTGAATGTGTTGTTTACTTGTTAAAGCGAGGAAAAGGCATAACAGATCTAAAATCTGCTCTTCAGGTATTCATCAACATCTGCTGTGTGACAACTATGTTGATAACTTTTTCTCATGACAATGCAACTTGGCTTATTATTTTGTGCAGACAATTTTTGCTGAGACTCTTGTTGATAGCAAAGATGAATTCCTGAAAAAGTTTTTGGTAGATAATGACTTTGTTAGGTATTAAGTCTTTATTATTCCTTTCATTCTAAATAAAAGCAACATACTTGCCATGCCCAGTTTCTTTTCATTTTAATATGTTACTTGAAATTTGATTTATAAAATTGTAAAGACTGGGTGGCTATATCAATTGATTTGCAGAACAACCATTTCAAATGGAGAGGTTTTGAAACACAAAGCTTTCCAGGGGCACATCCATGATGATTCTAATCAGCATAAAGATTTAAATTCTTCTAATGTTGAGGTTGTAATTTACATTTAGGGTCAATGTTTTGCACTATAGGTTAAAGTTTGTATGCTTGACTGTGAATGCCCAGTTTGAATGTTTTTCTATGAAAAACTACATGAATGCATGCTACGCCCATATTTCTCTATGTTTTGGCAATTATCTACTTAAATTACTGTTTTTGAGATGTGGAAAGAGAGTAAGTGCCAGAATAACTGTTGTATACTACAATTTTCATTTTAGCTTTTGTCACTTAATGATCAGAAATCCACTCTGCAAGTTGGATGGTTTGCCAAATTTCTTGTGCAATTTTGAGTTTTCCAGATAATTTTGTTTGCCTGTGCATTGGAGAGGAATTTGCCAATTGACTTACTTTTTCTACATACATGTTTATGTTATGTGATTCTGATGTTGTGTAATACTGCTATTTTTCTGGAAAGTCTGCCAGTCATGGAAGGTTACTCCCCTCCTGACATTAATAGATTAGGCTAGAATATTTTGGTTAAGTTATTTACAAACAAGTAGGTTGATATTCACTTTTATGTGATTAGTTACCCTTATTGATCGTTTGTTCTAAATCTTTAGCTGTACAAGTGTTTTCATCAGAGAAATTATGCTAGTTTCTCATACCTACATATGTTGTATGTTCTGGTCTGCCAGTGACCTGATGCTCTTTATGAAAATGTGATACTTGTTTGAACAGCCTTTTACCTTAAAAAAATCAGCCTTGGGAATTTTTTGTTCAAAAATGTCTCTGCAACATTTTCTTTTTTGTTTTCATTCTCCTTTTCATCATAAACATATATTGTGTCTTCATATGCATATTTTCGTGGCATATTGTGAGGCTGGATGCCATTTAATGTATGCCTTCTGGACCAGGTTGTTCGTATGGTGGCAGGCAACATGGCTACCGGACAACTTTACAGTCATCTAATACCCATTACACTTCTTCTTGTTGACGGTAGTTTTCACCTATTTTACTACTGCATATGTCCTTATTGTATGCAGTGTTTAGAATGCGTGCAGCTTTAGCTGATTATTTTTTAACCTCTCTTGTCATCTAGGTAGCAGCCCTATTGATGTTACTGACTCACATTGGGAGTTGTATCTTGTGATTCAGAAGAAAACTGATCAGCAGGAAGAGATCCAATGTAGGTTGATAGGTTTCACAGCAGTTTATCGATTTTACCACTATCCTGATGATTCCAGATTGCGACTAAGTCAGGTTTGTTATACTCTGGACCTTCAGTAAATGCTGCTATAATCTCAAAATCAATTTTAACTTTTAACACGCTCTTCTAAAGTTCTCTCAAGTGCTTCATTTTGTTACCTTTTGTTGTGACCTTCTGTTGATGGCAGATACTGGTATTGCCACCTTATCAACGCAAAGGTTATGGTCGGCTCCTTCTAGAGGTGCTATATGATGTAGCCATATCTGAAAATGTTTTTGACTTGACTGTAGAAGAGCCATTAGATCAATTCCAACATGTCCGCACATGTGTTGACACACTCCGCCTGCTTCGTTTTGACCCAATCCAGCATTTCATTACCAAGGCTGTTTCATTTCTAAAGCAAGGAAAGTTATCAAAGAAAACACATTGTCCACGTCTCATGCCACCTTCTAGCGCTGTTGAGGATGTAAGGAAAAGTCTGAAAATTAACAAGCAGCAGTTTCTCCAGTGCTGGGAGGTTTTGATCTACATTGGCCTTAATCCTGTAGACAAGGACATGGAGAACTTTGTTAGTATTGTTTCCAACCGTGTGAAGTATGAAATTTTAGGGAAAGATTCTGGGACGTCTGGAAAGCAACTTGTTGAAGTGCCAAGTGATGTTGATCCGGAGATGTCATTTGTCATGTTTAGATCTGAGGCTAATGAAGCTAATACTGTGCAGATGGATGACAATCAGACAAATCAAGAAGAGCAACTCCAGAAGTTAGTTCAGGATCGGGTGAAAGAAATACAGTTGATTGCAGAAAAGGTGACCCTACATCTCGGGAGCTCAGACGTGGCCATTAATTAAATTTGACTTCTTAAGATGGCATGATACGACAAGGTTATGCATCTATGATATTGTGATTGTTTTCTTGTTAAACCAATTGGGGTTTGTATTTCTGGCGGTCACATTATTATCTTGGTAGATATTTCTGGCTTTGACAATATCAAGCAAAGAGGACTCCTTGGAGGCACAATCAGTACTGTACTGTGGTTCTTTTTACTAGGTTGTGAAGGAACCATGCAATGTATTAGGCTGTAATTACTGAGATTAACCACAGCAAAGTTGATTAAGTGACATTTGGAGGATATTGTTCACTTCTAATTTGTCTTGCTCGTTATTTTTTGCTGTGCACTACAATCGTTGTCAGGATCATTTCAGTGGGTTTGGGACAATAAAACACGTTCTATGATTTTACGTGTCTATATATATATATATATATTCTATTTTTATTTATTAAATAAATTTTATAGGCAATTAAAGCTTATTATTCAGCTTTTCAAGGCTCTGAACTAGTTTCCACTTGAATATTTGTTGGAGAACTTTGTCAAAAGCTATCTTCCAGGAACTTTTTACTGTTTTGCATAAAAAAGAATTATATTGGACTATATTAAAATTTTAATTATAAATTATTTGACTACAAAATAAATCAATAAAAAAATACGCCAAGTATTACATGAGTGTATACACGGTATAGATGCCAAAATAATTTCGAAAGTCATGATAATCCTTGTGGGAAGTCTTTCATAGGAGTCATAATCAAATCACGGTGGATCTGGATTTGGTAATGTCCATAATCCACCCATTAAATGCCATTATTGAGTAGATGTTTAGAAAGAAAAAAATATTCACCAGTTTTACTAATTTGCTGTTTTTGTCGTGGAGCTGTTATTTGCCCACAACTAAAAGCTTACTTGTATTCACATGAGTTAAATCTCTACCCACTTTTTTTTTTCTCTTTCTGTCACTTTCTTGTTTCTTTTGGTCCAGGTCACTTTCTTGTTACATAAAGCACTGCCTCGTATTCTTTTTTGAGAGTCACTGGAAAATGTATGCTCAACATTTTCGTTTGTCGTAAGGTCCAAAGATTGCTGCACTAAGGAAATCCCGCTCCATCCCTACTCATCGTACTGAAAAATTTATAAATTCTAATGAAGACAAGGCCATACAACCAAAATTTTCTGTTCTTGTAATGTGATACAACTGCAGAGGCAATTGGACATGAATTTCGAGCCATGCATAAGCTTGTGTGCGCAAATGTATCACTATCACATAAGGGAAAAAATCATTGCAAATTATTTCCTTTACATCTTGTGCTGCACCAGTTAATGTATTGCACTATACTTGTTTGGTTAATAAGAAAGAAATAATGAAAATGGCTAGATGAATTGTGCCATATCATTTTCCCCCTATGAAAATGTGAAGTCAACAACGATTTAGCATTTTCACTAATAGCTAGTTTATGAGTATCTTTATCCATGCAACTGAGAACCCTTTTCCCCACTAATCTACTATGCTTCAGTGAGGGAACCGTTTCTTATAATCAAATCTTCTTTTGCATTACTTTAAAGGTGTGAATGTAGGTATATTGCTTTTGTTGAAGTACTAAGATAAAGTTGCTCTTACAGTGATATAAAGATTATACAGAAAGGAGGAAATTATAAATTATTTTTCAAAAACTATATATATATATATATATATATATATATATATATATATATATAAATTCTTATACTCAATTTAAGACTTTCATTTAATTTAAATCTAACAAGTTATAATTTATTTTATTACTTCTGTAAAATTTAGGTTAAATAAAACACTTAAATTGAATTTAAGTCTTTTTAAACTTACAGTAGCCTTGTCAATACTTTTCTTTAACGGGTCTATCTTAAAACTAACAAGATCATGGGCAAGTATCATTACTATATTAATATACCATACAAGCCATTTTTTCCAACGAGTTCTTTGGGGTTGTTGGAAAATATCCGATTTTGTTGTGTAATGGCCCCTCCGTCACATGGTGCAGCCACTAGAAATAGAAAGATCATAACAGACCAATGTCCACACTCGTTCGGTCCCATAATGTAGGACTTTTTTATTAACCCATAATATGGAAATCTACCTGTTAAATATGTGCTTGGGTTTCGTGACAATGGCCCGCCACCTAATCCATTTGTCAAATTCTTGGCATAATACGTCACAACTCAAGCTTTGGTCGATCGATAAACAAAGTGGGTGTAACTCATAGGAACCATACATCATCCAACATAGGATTCAAATCTGGAATGGAGATGGAATCACTGAAAAACTACTACCCCAAACTCCACTTGTCACAAATTTTCAGAGAGACATGATGTGATGTGTTAACCAACCTTTCATATTGGATTGCCCCAATAAGATGTAGATTGACATACGTCCTTCCTTTCTTGCTAGTGAGTTACAGTGGCTGGAGAGAAAAAAACTAATAATTTATTTCTATACACACCCCGAAAATTACACAACTTTGGCACAGAAGACCAAATTTGCGCCCATTACAAGAGATTCTCACCTTTCAACATTGTAATGGCGTCACTCATTCTAATCGAAAAGCTGACTTGTACAAAGAAAAGGAATAGAATGAAGTAAAAAGGAAAACATTAGAAACAGACAAACATATTTCAAGACCCAATAATTTACTACGTCCTCTCCCCATGCTATCAATTTGAACGACATTGACCTCACATGACAATTTCTGGCTTCAGAATACTTGACTTGATCTCCTTGTGGGGCAAAACCACACCACCATTGCTGTAAATTTCGTCACATACATGAACATCTTCTCCAAGGATAGTCATATTCTCCACTCGAGCCCATTGCCCAACGGTAGAATGCCACCCAATAATACTGCTGGATATGCACGCGTGCTTCTTAATCCTTACTCCTCGCATTACTGTGCAGCGTGATAGCCGAACACCTGGCTCAATTATGCAGCCAGGACCAATAGCAACATCAGGCCCAATTAGACATCCCTCACCAATTTTGGCTGTCTCATCGACAATGACATTCCCTACAATGGAAGAGCCACTGGCCAACTTAGAAGAAGACTTCTTCCTCAATGAGTCCAGGTAAAGTCTCAGGCCAGTAATATAGTCCCTCGGTTGTCCAATGTCCATCCAGAATCCTGGCAGGACCATTGCATATAGCTTTTTCTCAGCAGCAATCTTTGGAAACACCTCTTTCTCGATAGAAGTGGGCCTCAGTTCAATTCTATCCAAAACAGACGGGTTCAACAGGTAAATTCCGGCATTGATCTTGTTTCCAACAAACAACTTCGGTTTTTCAACAAACTTATCAACCTGCCCTGTGGTCTCTTCCATCACAACCACACCATATTTTGATGGCTCATCAACCTACACAAAGTAGATGAAATTTGTATTGGATTCTCTAACTTGAATGTATAGTCACAAACGCATGTAATGGAGAATTCTATTTTTGTTGCAAATTTTGTTACCTTTGTTACCATTATGGAAGCCTCCCCTCCATGGGCTTTATGGAATTCAATCATTTCTTTAAGTGGGTACTCACTGATAACATCGCTGTTGAGAACAAAAAATGGCTCTCTAGAGCTATCTATAAGCTTATCCCTGGCAAGAGCCAAAGGGCCTGCAGTTCCCAGTGGTTCAGTTTCTTGAGAGCATGTGATCTTGATGCCAAGCTTTGCTTCAAAATCCTTCAAAAAATTCAACATAACCTGCAGTAGGAAGTATTAACAGAAGTTGAAGTGAAGAAATTTTAGCCACATAAATAATTTAAGCATTGACTAAAACAATGTTGTAAGGAGAGGCATGATCTTTACCTCCGGTTGGTAATTGATGGCTAGCACCACTTCAGTAACTCCAATGGCCTTAAGGGCCTCTATCTGAAAAACAAACCAAATTAAAAGGTAAATCAGTAGGATAGTCAATTATATCATCATACTAAAGAATAGATATGCAAGATGCAAATCAGATCCCCCCCCCCCCCCGCGGAAGAGAAGGCATCAGATGGTTGCATTGAAAAGGTATTAAAGAAGACAGCTTACACCTTATTATAGCAGGGACAAAATTTCCATTAATAAGGCTTAAATAGCTTTACCTGATGCAGAATCATGGGTTTGTTAGCAAAATCAACAAGAGGCTTAGGGACACTGAGTGTCAGTGGCCTCAACCTTGTTCCAAACCCTCCAACCAGAATAAGTGCCTTCATTTTGATGTGCGCTCTGCTTTTCCTGTAAATATATAAATTAGAAGCAGATCAAGATAAGCAAACAGAGCATAGACCTGAAATATGAGTAGATCGATTACACCATGCCCTCTAAATATCAATGCAAAGAAGGAGAGAAGAACTTCCACGAAACACCTAAGTAAACAACTGGCAAAAAAGTTGAAACTAAGGTGATGATTATTCCGCTGAGTGTGACACGGATTCATTTACGTGTCACTACATGAACAATATGCAAGAATGGAAAGTATTGCACACAAAAGTTTTAACTACATATAAAAAACAATGACAAAATCCAGCTATATACAGGATCAAGTTTTTAATGAGAACGACAAAAACGGTTGAAGCCTGATGCAGGCTGCTCCATATATGGTGTCAAATATGTACTGGAATCAAGGTACATGGTATAACATTTGGTATTCTTTGAGAACTTAAAGCATGCACATGTTTCCTTCTTTCAATGGGAGAAATTTTCATATATAGCTTCTATTTAAAAAAAAAAATTGCTTGAGAATCCTTCGAAGTGAAGCACGTTGCATTAACAGCATAGGATAACCAAATAGATATTAGGTTCGATAGCTAGCTACAATCCACATTACCTACTCTCTCAACAGCATTTTAAAACCAAACACAAATGAAACAAAAGATTTGAAAGTTAATATTCATGATATAAATGAAACACAAGATGCAGTGACGTCATTAATTTGACGGAACAAGTAGTGTCAAATGACATCATGATGGAGGGAAATACCGGTACTTTAAATTATTTTCCGGAACAAATTGCTCAGACAGATATATCGTGGGGAAGAGTTAATCCAACATTTTTACAAATGAAAATCTCTTGATCCTCCACATTAGTCTGTTATTTATTTTATTTTATTTTTCATTACAAATCATATACAGAAATTCCTAATTGTAGCAACTTGAGTATGAAATTTCCCAAATCCATGAAAATATAAGTGAAATTACTGAACACAACATTCAATCAACACAAAGCGGGAAAAAAACAGACAAAAAGGAACTTCAAAAACACATAGTACCAGATCTGAATAGCACGCTGAAGCATCTATTTACAAATCGAAATCAGATCACAATTTAAAAAGAAAAAAAAAAAAAAAACTCATCAACAGGAACATTGCAATTTAACAATTGGGATTCGTAAACAAAATGCATTGATTGATTACAACAGAGCAGAGCGAAACTGCAATGGCATTGTCAGAATCAGAATTACCTTCGGATCCGCGAGATTTGAAAAACCGAACTGAGTCGACCCCAACCCGGACCGAGTCAACGCGGCGAGTCGGAATCTAGAACTAGAAAAGGAAAACACGATGAATCCCCAACTGCGTCTCATCCATCTTCCTCTTTATATATATCGCACGCGCCAACCATGTTTTTAACATACACTTTCTCATTTATTATTCATTTAATAATTTCATTTGTTATTTGTTAATATGTTATTAGGGGATCCTGAAATAAATTTTAAAAAATAAATTCAATTTATTCCGTGGGCGTGTGGGGTTCCCTTTCTATGTGTCGGTGGCTTCCTCCGTTATTTCGAATTTTGGCCATTTCTTCTCTTTTGCCTCAGTTTTTATCTTCTTCTGTTTTTGTTATTTGCACCTCTCACTTTCTTATTATTACAATTGTACCACACGTGCCACCAAATTTTCTGCCTTCTTCAACCCCCTCTTTTCTAATATGATCGCGGTGTACCATTTTGATCGAAATTTCCTTTCCCTTATTGTTTAATTTCTTTGTTTTTCATTTATTTCTAGGTGAATATATAGTATTAAATTAAATTTTTATATTATCGTAATAACAAAATAATTTGGTAATAAATTATATCACAATTTAATGATGCGATAATGTGTATTCAGATAACGATTTGCTGAAGTTTTATGTTAATGTCCCCTTAAGATAGATTGGACATGAGAGTAAGCCGCAATATTATATTATTAATCACTTATGGCATAATTTTAACAATTAAATGAATTTATGGCTCCAATTAAAATAAAATAACCATTTCAATAATTTTAAATTTTCTGCCCATTTCTTTGGAAAAAAAAAACTTTGCCCTTTTAAATTAAATATTACTCGTTGATAATCTTTGACGTTGATTTTCACAATTAACATTTCCCGATCGTGACGGGAGGTTCAGTTGTGGCCAAACTAGCATATTCCTGTCTTAGATACTCTACAATTATTTATTTATTCTTTCTCAAGTCTTCTCATGTTTTGATAAATTCAAAGTCTTTCTTTTTTATTATTTTTGTTTTGAAAAATACGTTTTAAATGGCCACAAAATCTTCCATGAAGTAGAATTTGTATCTTTGTTTCAGCATATAAGACCAGGGGCGACGCCTAGTACACAAAGAGGCTTCCTCTTTCAAAACTTTTTTTATTTTTTTCAATTTACATGTAAATTTTATTATTAATTTTCCTTCAACTTAGCCTGCACTATTATTATGAGTTTTTTGGGGTCTAGTTTGGTCACTGTATAAAAAGTTTTAAATTTAAAGGTTATAATTTTTTTTATGTTGATTTGCGTTGTTTCCGATTTTTTATGGTCGAATAAGTAAACAAGAAAATATTTGTTCAATTAATCAACAACTTTTTTTTTGTTGGCAGAATCCACCAGAGTTTGCTTCAACTGATTCCTGCGAAGTAGCTTCCATGCATCAAACATAGAATTGTGATATTGAAAAATGTTTTATATATATAGTTTTTGTTGGAATTTAGAGAAAAAAAAAAGATAATAAAATAAATAATATACTAAAAAAATTGTTGTAAAAATATCATAATCGTTGTCATATTTAACACAGAGTGATATACATGCTATTACTAATATGCAACATATAAAAAAAATCAATCAATAAATATTCATGATTAGTTTTTTATTTTTCTTATACAATTCAAATTTTGATCATCTTAATGCATGATTCCAAAACTTATATTATTCATTCAACGTATCAAGATTTAATTTAATTATAGTAAAATAAAATTATTAAATTTAAATACTAAGGTTATAATTAATAAAAAAAATCCAAAATCTAAAATATTGTTTTTGGGAATAACATTGCATGAAGTTGGTTTGGATACAGAAAGAAAGAAAAATGCATTTATGAACATTATGTTTATATTTCTTGTAAATAATTTATTGGAGAATAAAAAGTGTTAAATTTTGTATCAACCTCGAAACTCTTACTTAACTAACAAATATTACGTTGGGTGCATGTTAAATAGTTATTATTAAAAAATAAAGATTACTCAAATTTTCTTAATTTAGAAAGAAAGAAGACAAAGTTAAAATAAGAAAGAAAATGAAGTTCTTATAATTTACATAATTTTGATTTAAATGAAAATTACTTTCTTTCTTATTTTATTTAACTAAAGTAAAATTTATTTAAATAAATTTAGACTACATAATCATATTCGTACTAAAACTACAAAAAATTATGATATGATCAAAATCTACCTTCAAATTTGAGAGTGCATTAAAATTATGAAGAAAGTTTATTTATAATTTAAAACCTATTTTATGTCTATAAATTTACTTAATTACTAAATAAAGAAACTATTAAATATTTTATAAATAATAAATATGTATTCTTTTTATTTTTATTTATTTTATAAAATAAAAACATATTTAAAAAATATATAAAAGAACATAGTAAAGCTCTTTTATTTTTCTCTACATTCGAGTCAAATCTTCGAAAGAGATTATTTTCATGCAAACTACCTATATACGTGTTGACTTTTGGAATTTGGATTGCCTTTGACAAAATAGTAAGTCTTAAATATGGTCTTGTTGCTCTTTTGGGACATTGAGCGGCTTAGTCTTTTACTTGGATCAGATCAATTAGTGTGAGATGATGCACGAGAAAATATGAAAAATAATATGATGAATAACACACTTTAAACAAATATACATTACTAAAGATATAGAAAATTATAAAGTATTAAGATATTTTTTTATTAATATAGTTTTTTACTAAATATTAAATTATTAATTAATAAAGAATTTAAAAGTTTTTACTAACAATGTGTGTCGAGAGGGCAGTGTTTACAGAGACATTTTTAAAGAACAAGACAGCTAATGTAAATTCTGCTGCATATTTTTAACCCAATGTCATTACAGCCTCTATAACTAACACACTCCCATTCATGTTTTGATTGTTTTTATTCCAATTAATTAGTTAAGTAACTTGACGCATATGCCAGCAATTAATTCAGCTTCCAAAAATGGACAATCCAATTGCTTGATGCTATATGATTCCTACGTTATGAATAAAATAATGTTACTTCTCCTAACCCTTCTAATCCAGAGAAAAGTAAATATGGCATATCATGGTTTTAGAAGATGATTTGGTGTCAACTGTGAAGGATACAAATAGCTTATGTTGTAAAGATATTGATTAAATAATAATTAATAAATATTCTTATTAAAATATTACAATAAATATATTAATATCATGATTTTCTTTTCATAAAAAAAAATTCTTTAACTTTGTAATCAATGTTTAATGATGTTTAGTACCATTCACTTATATACAAAAGAATTGACAAACACACTCCAACAAAAGCCATTTTGATATTAGCTACTCACCACCTCCTTGATTTTGATAAAGAGGCCATCACTAAAACTAGCGTGCAACAATATTAAGATCCAGCTACTGTGATGTCAACCATAACTTATGTACAAATACACAATATTGATTCAATGACTCCAGTATGATATACCTGTTGAGGTTTATCAAGTATCAACCTCAAATGGAAAGTATGGAGCAAAAATATTCAGGACAATTTATTTGGGTACCGAAATTTTTATGTCTCCACAAATTGATAGTTCCACCTTTTCAAATATTATATATTTGTATGTGTGCCCGGATCGTTGCTGATCAATGATCAGTTGCAAATTGGAACCACAATTTTGTTTTTGGTCATTAACTCAATTTTGTTGTAAGCTACGTCACATCACTCTCGATGATAAGGAAAGGCCAATTGATGGTCTAAGACAACTTTATAGAAGCAATTGACTGTGAAATTGGAAAAGTACCAGAAATATGGATCCGAGAGCATCTTCTCTGAGAGTTAATTGACTGTTAGGCCCAGCTTCGCTTTCATGGAATGATTCCTACTTGTTATGTTTTGGTTTCCACTGAAAAAGAAAAAGAAAAACCACATTTACAATTCGCGTATGGCAATTTGAAAGTATATAAGAAAAGTTAACCATACTACCCTAATTTTTGTGCTTTATTCCACTTTTCAAGAAAATCCTTCATATAGTATCTGGTTTTGTATTTTGTTTTTTCACAAAAGATGTTCGACAAATATTAGCCCAAAATACTTGAAAGAGTCCAACGCAAAAGGGAAAATAAAAACTTCTGACTTTGTCACATGGAATATTTGAATTTGATCCAAAACATTGTTAAATTAATTTATCTTTGGTTAATGATTCTGAAAGTTGATTCAGGTTATTGTGAATGGGAACAAAAGTTTCCTTGTTCATTGTTTATCATCTATGGTCAATCGAACTGTGAGAAAGGAGACAATATACTAAAAAATTAATAAAAAGGAGTTGACCTAGATTGAGATACAGGTCCTATCCTAATATCGAATAAGTTAAGACAAACAATGTGAAAAAACGCAAGTCCAATATGAAAAATACTCATTGGACCCTTAAGAAACTCGAATCAAACCTCTGAATATTGTTTAGGGCATATTTAAAAAACTTTTGAACCTCACGATCAAAACACAAAAAAGAAAAGAAAAATTTTTAACCACTTAAAACAAAATTTATAAAAAAATATAAGCTATTTTTAACTTTTTTTTTATTACTTATCAAAATAAATTATTTTTAACTTATTTCTATAAATTTCATTGTCAACTTATAACATAAATAATTGTTTGATAAAAAAATTTATTGATTAAAATTTAAATAATTTATGTACACCTAAATACATCTCTGGAGGAAAAATGATATGCTTAGATATTATTAGTGTTGTTCTCAAGTAAAATTGAAGTTACATTTTAGTAATATGTATTATGTGCTGATTTTAATATTAGTGTATATATTTTTAATGTCAACTTTAAATTTATTATGTATATTATTGAAGTAAAACTCTAATTCCAATAGGAGAATAATACTAAAAGTGTATCCCACCTATATTTTCTCCTAGTGTCAAACATGCCGCTAAGTGATTCTTATTCGGGATACTGTACGTAGCCGTTCGTGTCTGCAGTTCCCTAACATAGAAGTTATATATGAATAGAGATTATGAAGGACTTCAGCAAACCTTGTGGTTTATTTTGACTGTTCATTATGCTTGTTCGGACTCTTCAAAAGTGAGTTGGTCTGTGGGAGTGTATTTTTCCCTTAAAATAAACCATTATTTTTATTCAAAATTCAAACTGGAAGCGTGAGATTGTGCTTGTGGTCAATCCAACCTCCATTTATATAAACGATCTTTATTATTTCTGGTTAACTACAGTAAAAGATTGTTGTAGCGTTTACTACAGTCGTATATTCCAAGATTACATTTACAAACAAAAAGCAAGTTCATATTACATGCTAGTCATGGTTACATTCCAAGATTACATTTACACCTACTCAACAACCAACTTACAGTGCATATAATTACACTGAACTGTTTTTTATACACTAAAATAAAATGTACACAGTGGTGAAGAATGTTAGATAGGTGGAAAGGACCCAATAGTCCCTTCCAAGCCAGATATCGCTCTTTAGTGTAATACCGGAGCTAGTCATGGTTGATCACACCATGAAACAATACAAGCATGTATGCATATGTATACCACTACCATATGTACATATACAAGACTTACGATTTACCTTCCAAAAGAACCGCTAACTAACAAAATTGGGTCAAGTGGCTCTAATAAACCATGACATCAAGTGGGTGACTCAGCCAGAAGAAGAGTATGCCACCAACCGCAAGCAACATTTTTAGGGACACAACCTTCAATTGTGACTTCGGAAGGAACGTTACGGTCAATCACATCACCAAGACCCAGCTGCCACATCCAGAAATCACAACTTAGAAAAGTATGATTCCATAACAAGAATGCTACTCATACCCTACCCAATTATAAACTTACTACGTGGTCAGATAGAAATCGCTATAATGCTCATTGTTTAAAATGTGAAATAAAAAGAAGATATATATGAAAATGTAGTGTGACATAAGCACCTGTCCATATTTGTTCCAACCCCAGCAGAAAACTTTTCCACCCTCTTCAAGAACAGAAACAAAAGAGAACTAATGAGAATCTATTAATAATAGACATGTGAATTACATGTGTTTTTAATAGCCAATTAAATAAAAAATAACATCACTATGCACAAGTCCCAGATGACTATTGCAAAAGTAAGAATAAGAACAGTAATGTAATATATGAATTTCAAGTTTTGCTAGCAATCTTATTCAGTTACACTGATAGTTTTGCATCAGATGGGCTTTGGCTAAAACAGAGATGTTATTTAACCCATTCATGTCCAACCCTCTCCAATGACTGTTTAGTTTGACTAGCACCATTGTCATTGTGGAAGAATCTTTTCACCAAACAGCTAACATCATTTCACGGTAGCTCCAGAATCCCATATTTTTGACAAAATAAATAAATAAAAGCCTTTTTTCCCAAAATTTTCTCTCCAGTTGTCCTGACAACAGGTTATTCATCCATACTACAGGAAAAGAAAATGCAAAATAATGATTAGAAAACAAGCTGGAAAAATTTAAGTGCACACTGCTCAGTACTTGATGTAAGCACCTTACAGATTCTATTATTAGAAACGGGATGGATTTCAGAGAGACGTCAAACAGATGTTCAATTCTATTGTGTTTAGAGAGATATGTTAAATAACTTAAATACTGGAAGCATAACTCTGACTAGGAAGGCAGCTATGAAAATGTCATAAGCAAGTTCTTATACCACGGCATACCTGTTATTAAAGCAGTGTGACGAGCACCACAAGATATGTTCTTTACATGCGTATTTTCCAAACTTGGAGAATCCACTAGACTTGGTAGAGTCTGCTTCAAAATTGAAATAAACAGTTAAAATAGAATTGTAAATATCACATGCTTAATGGGTCTTTAGGAGACAGAAATTATGATCAACAAACAATTGTAGTACATTGGTGATTGACATAATCTTATAATTACATTTCGTTTTAGTGACAAACTGAGTATGGAATCTAAAGGATGGCACTAATTATTATTAGAATTTTCTATAGAATTCTTTATGTACTATATAATCAAATGCAGTTTTTTTTATTTTGTCAAAAAGTGGACTAATATTGTAATATATTTAAAGTTATTAGCTTTGAACACTTAATACTGATCTATGTTGGATAGTGTGGGCCTAACCTTTAATAAAAATGAAAGGTGCTTAGGGTTAATAAATATTAAAGCTAAGTCTTTTTTGCTGTCACGAAAACATATTCCATTTATCTCTATATTTACCTCGTTGAAAACCTAGTATTAAGAGAGTGTGATTAGACAAAAGAAGATCTTAACTTTTTACTAGGATTCACAGCTTAACTAAATTATTTACTTATTGTACAATTTACAATGTTTAAGAGTAAGTGATTTCATCATTGTTATTTTAAATTCGTATATTAGTATTCTAAATTTATATAATTAGATTTAACTCAATTTATTTCTATAATTATGGCATACCTCAGCTTGATCAGCCCCGGTTCCCAGCTGCCCAAACTGATTCCCACCAAATGCATAGACATCCCCATCAGCAGTTGTACATACTGTGTGCCACAGTCCTGCAGCAACTCCTTCAATTTGGATACCCAATAAAGAAGATACACAGGTTGGGCTTAGTTCATCATCCGTAGTTCCTTGCCCACACTTGACCAAAAAAGGTAACATTAATTCAGTATAACAAGCATAAACATGCATTGATCAACAGGGTGACAAGAAAGATAAAATATTGCAATGGAATAGAATAGATAATCCCTTGTTAGAGTGAACCACATCTTCAACATCTAGATTGCTTTTGTCCACCATATTCTACTTTACCTACAGATTGATCCTTCAGAATGGTTAAGGGGTGATAATATCCAAGCAGCATTGTAGTGAACATATTTCAACATTCTAATATGAAAAAAATTCATGCACATGATGAATACTCCCACAATCTCAGGCAAATCAGAGCACAGTTTTAATCTGGTGCGTGCTGTACTTCACATTTTTCACAGTACCACTGTACCAGGTAAGCATTAGATTGCAAAATGAAAAAAGGATGCTGGTGACGTGACATGCAAAGTGAAGTGATTCTGAGTATGGTCCTCACTATCAAAGGTCACCCTATTGGCTAATAAGATCTGAATGATAAAATGGCTGAAAAAGAAGCAAAACTAATTTCACATGAAAATAAATTGAACACCAGAGGAGCTAGATCACACAGGGTGTAAGTTCAGTGGCTGATTTCTAATCAAGAAAACATATGCAGTATTTGCAAAAAATGAATTTTCCATCAAGTAAAATCCTTTCCCAGAAAAGAAAAGGGCTAAGTAAATCAGAGCAGAAAACATCAATATACCAGACAAAAAACCCAAATTCTTTGACAAATTAGCATTTTTCCAAATTTAAAAAGGTTCTTCCTATGTTTTTGCTTTCTGTTATTTTATGATTAAATGTATTTTATAAATATTTATTTAACCTTATATTACGCTGCCTTTTTATATTGATTTCTCTATGAAAGTTAGGCTAAGATGTTCACTGCATCACTCACAAATATACTTCCTATGCATCCATTACCCAGCACCTGAGATAATCAGTTACAACTAACATCCAAGTCATCTTTCCAAGTGCAAATCTCCCCCCCCTGTGGAAGAATAAACCCTCCTCCCAAAGGAATTAACATAATGATCCAGCACAGGAAAGAAAGCAATCTTAAAAATTAAAGAGACCAAAGGACTACTTTTTTTAATTTAAAAATCCTTCCAGTTTTAGATATCCAGCAGATAAAGTTTCTTTTTATCCTTGTTTCTTTTTTAGCATCCATGAGGTTCACTTCATGGTCTGCTCCTAGAGGGACTGAGACATTTAGCACCAGATTATGATTTTCTAATATTAGGATTTAGGAGTATGTGAGCAAACTACAGGCTTGCACACATCAAAGATTTTATTTAGAATAGATACTGACAAAATTCCTGGAAAGGAAAAGCTCTGCGTGTTTGATCCATTATAACATACCCACTACAACAATAGCCTTTCCTAGGGAGAAGAGAGCCATAAAGGTAATGTTAAGAATATGCTGGTGAAGTATATATATAATTCTGCAAGTTTCACTCCCAAATAAAACGTGTACATGTAGTACAAAATCTCTCAAAATATCCCAGTTCACCTTAATTTTACCTGTCCATAGAGTCCCCAACCAAAAGTAAGCAAAGCTCCAGCATCTGTCAGTTCAACGGATAGATATTCCAATGTATGAAATTAACCAAAGATAAAATAGAAGAGATTTTGAAAACAAAATAAGCTTACTAAGCAAGTTATTCAGTTCAATTTCATATATAGTAACAATTCAATTCCTAGCCTAATACCCAAAAAGACAACATTAGTTATAGATAAATATTTTCACAAATTTATGGATGTTTTTGTTAAGATATTATTTCTCCTCATCAAATCATACAATTCCTATCCAGACCATTCCATCCATTCAGACACTACTTTTCTCCTTATAAACACCTTTAAGCTCCATCCTTGACACCAGGTAGGTAAATTGCAACATTATTAACAAAGTACATGGATATTCTTATTTTAGGTTTTTCAAAGTAACTAAAATGAAAGTTGTCCAGTGGAGTTGTTGACTATACCAACATATATGTACCTGTAATTACTGTACTATGTCGACCTCCACAAGCAATTTTCTTGACATAACTTCCAGGAATTCTAAAATTCTGACCATCTGACCCTATGCTTCCTCGAGCCAATGTTGTAGACCAATCTTTACCATAGTAAGAGGAATCAATACAAGGAACAAGATGAGGAGAGGAAACCATACGTATTCTGGAACCCAAACCAAGCTGCCCTTCACCTCCATAGCCCCAACCCCACACTAGTCCTGTATCTGAAACTCTCAGAAAATTAGAATCAGTGATAAGTGTTAGACAAAAAAATAATGCTTCAACCAAAGCATGACCCCATTACACAATTGGGAGAAAATAACATACATAAAATCTTAGACCTAGGTTTCAAAATAGTCCAAAATAAAGTCTCTACCTGACAATGCTAGGGTGTGACGTCCACCAGCAGCAACAGTAGCTATCCTTATCCCTGGGTTTAGTGTGACAAGACAAGGAAATGCTGTCAGAGTATCATCACTGGATGATGAGCTTTCAGCTGTTTGCTTTGCTGAAGATACTCTCCTTCGCTTTGTACTTTCTTCTCCGCTGTTACTGGAAGCAGTACCTCCAGTAGATCTTGAGCCTTGAGAACGAGGGCTCGCTATTGCAAAACAACTCTACATCAGTTACCTAGAAGAGAACAACAGCTCACAGTCCCTCCCAAGGAGGGATGATCACTAGAGGCAGTACATCAAGGTGGTGAATGGGGGTTCATCATAGAGGGGTAAACCATAAAGCTTCTTCCTTCTTTCTTTTGAGGTTGCGAAGATTCTATCCTATATTGTTGCAATTCTCCTCCTTCCCCACTCCTTTTTGGGTGCACCTTCGCTTGCATAGACCGCTCCTTGGGAGGGACAGCTAGCTATATATAAATGGTCACTGTAAAAAGGTCAGACATACCTTGCTCTGTGGACAATGGACTTTGCCTTCCTGGCACATCTTTCTCGAGACTTACCCCAGTTGATGGTTCCCCAAATACCCTCCCAGAGGGAATGCATTCTTTCCATCCCCATGTATATACTTCTCCATGTTCTGCCAAGGAAACAAAACATACTTGAAGGGTGACACCAAAAAGAAAAACTTTGCTTAATGGACAAGACAAACTCTTTCCCAATTAGATGATATTGTCAAATCCATTTTGGATACTTATGAGTTGTGGAAGCAATTAAATACACGATAAAGCCTTTTAAAGACAAAACGATGGGTTCTGTTTTAGTTTTGGCCTTCTCTTTTCAGTCTCATCGTCTCATTTCTTCTTCTGTTTTCCTCTTCGGCGAGCAAGGTATGGAAATCCACCTTACCTGTTACAGCAACACAATGAGCCCATCCAGCTGCTGCTTTTACAATAGAGGCTTCAGTTGGAAGAGGAAAAGGCTCTGGTGTTTCCTTTACAAATAAACTAAAAATGTTAGTTTGTTGACAAATAAACAAATAATAGGAAGCGAGAGACATCTGTTGTGCATTACCCCATGCTTGCCTGAAGTCACATAACTTTGGCCTAGATCATCTGTTGAGCCCCATGTGATGAGCTTCCCCGGTTCTGATTAAGGAAGAAGAACACGTCAATAATGATGAATTCTTCATGCAAATAAAATGGTGATGGAAGAAAAGGAGCCAATAGAGAGATAGAGGGATACAAAGACATACATACATACGAGTAGAAAAAAAACATAAAAAAGATAAATAAAGAAAAAGCTTGGCCATAAACCCCAATTACGCATAACAATATCAACACACGCGCGCGCAAAAAAGGTAGTGTGAAAGTGAAACAATAGTGAAAGCCTCACAAAATTGCAAATAACCGCTTAAATTCATCTACTTAGATTTGAGTAATTGACCAACCAAACAAAGTAAGACCCGGGTTGAAGCCAGCAATGCTAAAAAACAATACTTTATTTAATAATAAAAAAAAAAAAAACTGTTTCGTCACACGCAAAGAGGCTGTTTAGCTCAAGGAAAAAAAAAAACTTCGGGGCCATAAAATCCCAAAATTAAAAATAAAATAAAATAAACTCCAATGCGAATAAAATCAGAGTATGGAGCTGAAGCTGGTGAAATGAGTCAAGCTTCTGCTTCGCCCTACCATCAACACAACTCAACAATTTTCCCCGAACCAGCTTGATTTTGAAACCCAAACCAAATTTTGGAAGAAACAAAAGGGACCAGAGAGGGAAAAACGAAGCCTCCAATTCTCAAATTAAAAAGAGAGAGAGAGAAAAGTGAAAAGGTAAGACACCAGAGATAGCCATAGCGAATCCACAGCCACCACCACAAACATCTTTCCAAGAGTACCCAGACGGCGGAAACCTAACAGGAACGGGCGTCAATAACGGCGTCCTCTGCGGCAAAGCTCCGGGAAGGTAACCCCACATGTAAAGAAGCCTTTGCAATGTTCCTCCTTCACTTCCCTCGCCATTATTGATGGCCATTCCCACACACAACAAAGAAACTCTCAAGTCAACAACAACACAACGCTCTTTCTCCCTTTTCTGGCGGTTTCTTCTGGTTGGAAAGAAGGAAAGAGAAAGAGAGTGTTTGTTTGTGTGTTTGGAGTGGCCAAGAATTTTACGGAAAGTGCCCTACATAAAAAGAGCGTATCATTTTCAGCTGAACCCCGATGCCACGTCGGATGCTCACGTGGTCTTTGTCCACGTGGCCTCCTTCTCACCGCTAGATCCCTCCGCCATTTCTCGCCACCAGTTTTGCCGAAGTTTCTCGAAGTTCATGTGCGTTCTGTGTCACCGTGTTCGCTCCATTCTTCGCCACGTGTTAGCACATTGCACAAAGTCCAATCATTGTGTCGCCACGTGTCGTTTTGTAGCCCGTAATAGGAAGACACATCAATGTTCAACTTAATCACAGAGAAATGTTCCTATAACCTCAATAAAATTTTGACTTCCTCTCATTTACCGTATATATAATTTTAGTTTTTTTAAAAAATTAAGTATATTGATATCTTTTAATATTGTTCTTCTATTTTTATAAATTAAATTGATACGTAGTTTTTATTTGAAAAACTAAACAAATATTATGCACTTAAAATAAAAAATATAACTTTTCTCTCTTCAAAATTTAATCATGTATCTTCAATATTTTACTTCTATTTTAATTTAATTCTCTTACTTTTAAGCTTTTAGAATTATTTTATATCCTAGATCTATCATAAATTCTTAAATAATTATATTAAAATATAAATTAAAGTATTTCAGGTAAAAATAATAATAAGAGATATAATTAATTTAATTTTAAAATAAAAATTTAGCTAACTCAAATTATATACGATCCAAAATAGATAGATACCAAATATAATTAAACAAAATTTTGATTTGACGGAAGAGTATGTTGAAAGTTGTACTTGAATGCGTTTATTTTTAATGAAATTAGACAAGTAATCTTGACTACATTTGTAAATTATGTGTGTCAGACGAATTATCATATACAAAAATAAATTAATATACAAAAAATTCATACTATTTTTAAATAAATTACTTAATATGTTTTTTACTAAAAAAGTTGACATATAAACTCATAGCAAAAAAATTAACGATTTTTTAGATTATAAAAAATATAATAAAAACCTGTAAATAATATTTTTATTAAAATTATAAAATTTAATATATTAATATTATTAAAGGTTATATTTTTAATAAAAAAACAATATTTATTAATCTATTACATAATACACTTTTGCATAAATTAAAAACAATAGTAAATAATGCTCATGAAAATTTTCCTTTCTTCTTTGAAAGTGGGAGGGACATCTCAAAATTACTTTTCTTATTTGAAAAATTGTTTACTAACTAATGAGTAAAATTTTAAAAGAAAGATGATTGTTTCTCCTTTATGTCATAGGTGTAATCTTGAAAGAAAATTTGTTATACATGTTTTGAGATATTTTTATTTTTTATTTTTTTTGCTAAAGTTGTTTGGAGCCATTTTATTTTTGTTGATTGGTGTCAAGTTTTTTAATGTTGGATTGTCAAGTTGGTTATTAAATAATCTTTCCTCTTTATGTCTTAACAGATTTTAGAATTAGAAGTTATTTTTGATATTGTTAAAGGCTATGTATGATGCTGATTATTTTTTATTATTTTACAAAAAAAATTCTACCTCTCACCATTATGCTGTTAGATAGATTTTTCCTCTTACCGATCACTTAAAGTTAAATATTGATGGAACTATCTCTATTGGTGTTGGAGTTGTTACCTGTGAAAGGCTGATAAGAAATGCTTATAAATAATGTATAGCTAGTTTCTATAGTCAAATTAATTTCTGTTTTCAAGTAGCTATTGAGCTATAAAGCTTATTATTTGGTATCCAATTAGTGATACAACTTAACTTTACTTTTATTTAGATGGAGTTTGATTCAAATAAAGCATTCTCCCTCATCTTGAAGTTATAGTTAATTTCTCATTCTTTATTTCATATAATCTGTAAAAGTCATTAAATTTCTCATTTTTTTTTCCCTCACTGACTTTGGATTTTTGTAACTCTATCTTACCTACACCGATTGTGTAATTTTTGTTTGGTGGATGCTCAGTCCCTTTTAATAGAAAAAATAATAACAGTAAATAAATAATTTTCTCTTGTATCTTTTTTCTTCCACCAATATGAAATTTGAATGAACTACATGGTTGGTTTATTTTATTTGAGCTTTATTTTCAAGAAAATTAATTTTTTTTCGTTGAAAAATATGTTTTAACTTTGAAAGGTAAACACAAGGGTGTAAGACTTCCTTAGATTTATACCTGTGTGATCGATTTATTTAATAAAAAAATATTCGTTCAAAATTTACCGTATTAAAAAAAGTTTCAAATCAACAACCACCACGACGCTCAAGACATCAACCCAAATCCTCTGCAATTGGAATTCATTAGGTTATCATTTAATGGCTCAATTTTTGTTTATATGTTTAATTAATTTTGTTAAATTTTAAAAATAAAATATAAAGTAAAAATTTATCATATTCTCGCTGTCTGACTGTAGAGATTAGCATCTGGTGGAATCTCTTGACTGAAAAGTTCTCAAAAGCTTCATCTTAATAATAAAATATTTTGTCTTCAATCATCATAATATGATTATATGAACAAGTATTTTTTATTCATGTGATGAACACCCTCGTGTATTTAACATTAAATTGAATTTAAACAAACAATCTTGGATCTCTATATTAGAGAACATGTATACATTATTTCACTTAATTTAAAGTAAGTGATGGTGTTTAACAATTATTTGAATACGTAGGAGGGGGAAAAAGGGGAAGAGCTAAAACAAAAGTAAATTATATAAAAGGATGAATGACAGGAACTAAACAATAGGAAGTGAAAGTGGAAGCATACACCGAAAGTGAAATTAGGTAAGTCGTGTAGTCTAAGGTCAACATCATCAAATATGCCCCATAGAAATCAATTACCCTTAATTGTGGAACCAACAAGGACAACACAGCGCCACACCGTGAACTCAACCACTCAACACTAAAATGAGGTTTTTAAGTTACATTTATTTATTAAATATGTTTAATTGTTTTTACATTTTATTTAATTTAAAATTATAAGATATACCTTTTAAATTTATTAAATTGAAATTTAAATAAACGTAAATAATACAATATTATCACATCATTATCATTACTATTATTATTACTATGAAAATAATCTACTTACTTATTGGAAAAAAAATGTACTTTTAATCAATTAAATATTAGTCTTTATCGAATAAAAATAATTTTAAAAAATTCTCTTAAATGAGAGTCATTTTAAAAGACAGTTTTTATTACGTTTTGTAACTTACCCTGTATTTAGTATTTAATTAATCTATTTTATAATTTTAAAAAATATTTTTTAAGTTAATTGTGTTTATTATTATAAAAATATTTGGTATAGTGAAATAATAATAGTCACGTCATGTTATGTCTATGTTAACGTTAAACAAGTATATTTGTTTGACACTACATAAACTTTCATATTTTTAAGCAATTAAAAATATAAAAAAAAATTATAGTGAAAATATATTCAAATTTTCGTGATTAGTTATATTAAAATATGGACCATGAATCGTGATTAGTTATATTAAAATTCATAAAATTTTCGTATGAAAAATCGCTTGTACTGTATGGCATGACTGTTAAAAAGTTGTCATATTTTTGTACAGAAATCATGTCCTATTTGTGTTGTATATTATACTTGTAATTTACATCAAAGTTTATCTACCTTTGAACAGCAAAAGAATTTACCATGTCTTGTAAATTAATCAAAATTATTATCTCGTTTTTACCATGAAATATAAAGAAAAAACAGAGAACATGCACTTTCTATAAACCCAGATTTCTATTTGTTCTTGTCCTTTTCTCCCCTTAGCACATTGAACCACTTTGAGCGTGTGCCCTCACGAACTTTCTCTTCACTCCCCCATCTTTCCACTGTGCACACATCTCTGTGTACAGTTGCATTGGTGACCACAAATCAGAATCTGTTGCAAAAGGCAACAATCAACAAGTGGGCATCAAAAATATATCTCTGATTTACTTTCAATAGTTTTTCCTCCAAAACTTTCTATTCAGAAGATTTTGTGACAGATACGTTAGGATTTTTATGAGCACAACAACAGTTTCGTTAACTTCACTTCAAGAATAAGGTTCAACTTTATTGTTAAGAATTATTGATGAAGCTGCTATATGTGAGTGCACACGAATACAAACATATGCATTAATTCTACGTAACAATTTTGCGCTTCCTTGTCCATTCTCACTCCAGCCACAAATAAGATTCAGTTACATTAAACATTTGACCGTTTGTGTCGTTGTTACATGTTTTAATCATCAACCACAACCACAAATAAGATTTTGTTACTTGACCATGAACCTACCGCTTTGTTTGGCTTCTTGCCATTTCTAATTTCTCGATGAATAGTTTACCAGTGTGAAGTAATACTATTATAGTTAATACCACTGTTAGAAACACTCAGATTGTAGATAAATTTTTCCAATATTTAAACACATGGTAAATAAAAAATGATTTTTTTAATTTTTTGAAAAAATTCATTTGTAATACAAACATTAAAAAATTTGTTTGTAAACAGCCAATTATTTGGTGCATAACACTACAGATATAAATTATAAATATATTTTTCTATTTGTAATTCAAAACTAAGACAAAATTATAAAAGAAAAAATTCATCTATATTTTTAACATATTTTTGTCCTTTTATATAGTTTATCATAGACAAAATTTTTTTTTATCTATAATTGCATTTAATAAAGTCACCAAAAAAAAATCTATTTATAACAGAAGTTTTAAAATGTTGCGTTTCGTTAAAACATTTACAAACAAAAAATTTGTCTTAAACCTGTGAGACAAATTGAAATTGCGCCTTTTCCTTCTTCTTCTTTCTCACTTTTTATTTTTTTTTGTCTCTCTATCATTTTCAATTCTTTGCTCATTGTTAGTGGTTGAAGTGTTCATTTAAAAAACAAATTGCATCATTGTGTTCCTAATACAATAATTTAACTTTTAAATTTAATTTATTAATTTTTTATATAAAATAGAGACTTATGATAATA